TTCGGTTGTTCTGCCATTTGGGCTATTTGCATAGTAGGGTTATAGAGAGAGAGATTATTGTATTACTTTCCATATGAACAACTGTAAACCTGCTTTCACCTTTACCCTGTATACATGGCATAAAACCATTTTAGCCATTTCTGATCATGTAATTCAGTGACATTAAGAACATTTGCATTGCTGTGCTACCATAATCACTTTCCATATAAAACTTTCCTCCTCTTGCATAACTCAAACTCTATATCTGTTTAACAATTTCCTATTCTTTCTCCCCTTATCCCAACCCCTGGCAACCACCATCCTATTTTCTGTCTTTATGACTTTGACTACCCTAGTAATATAAGTGGAATCTTATGGTATTTGTCTTTTGGGTATGTGACTGGCTTATTTTACTTATAATGATGTTCTCTTGAGTTCATCCATGCTGTAGCATGTGTCAAAATTTTCTTTTTAAGGCTGAATAATTGTATGTATACACCACATTTTGTTTATCTATTCATCTATCGATGGACATTTGGGTTGTTTCCACATTTTGGCTATTGTGAATAATGCTGCTGTTGAACACTGGTGCAAAAATATCTGTTTTGAGTTCTCTGCTTTCAATTATTTTGGATATATACCCAGAAGGAAATTGTGGTTTTAAAAATCTTTAATATATCAAAGTTTAAAAGATTATAAAGAGAATGATTCTCTTTTTTGGGGGGAGGGAAGTATGCACATAATAAAAGGACTGGAAAAACATAGTTAAAAACAATTTGGGGCTCTTTATTTTCTTTCTGACTTTTCTATTGTAAGGAATATATACAAATACATAGTTTGAATTAAATAGAGGGCCCCACCATTTTCAGATGAATGAACAAAGTAATCTGGCAATAGCTTTTTTCTAATGCTGTACTGCTTTACCTCTGGGTTATAAAAATGATAATTTCAGAAATATCCCTAGAGATGTAAAGCACCATGAAATTCAGTTTAATTACTTGTATGTCTCTCAGAAAGAATCACAGCTGTTATATCACAGAGAGGGAAAGTGACAGCTAAATAGGAAGAACTTGACTTGAGCTTAGTTTCTTCTTTGATAGCAAGTACATGTTCTTTATGTAGAAATAACCAGCTCAGGAATATTTCCTTTATTCTTGACTTTGTTGAACGTCTCAGTGCAGATGCCAGAAGTGAACTAAGGCTTTCTTCTAAAGACATCACTCCATAATCAAGTGCTTAGAGCCAGCTTGCAATCCGCTGACAGATGCAGTGCTAATGCAGCAACCCTTGAACACAATCTATTGCTTTGAAAGCTTAACGAGAAGTTTTCATCTTTTTAATCTAATAATGAATTGAAGAATACAGATTACTTATCTTATTTCTACAAGTATTTAGTACCAGAATAGAAAAAAATCAACAGTAGTGGAAATGCCTGTGTGCAGTTACTCAAAGCCACTGGACTTCTCTTAAGATGTGAATGTCTGGTTCCATCCTTAAGATTTGTTTTCTTCATGAAGTCTTCTTTCATTTAGCTTCACTCACATATAAGCATTTTATTTATCTTTATAGATAGGTTTAAAATATTAACCATTTTTAGAGATTTCTTTATGTAAGGACTAACTAACATATTGTTCATGTCCATTTATCCTCTTGCTAGTTAAAAACCTTGACGTTTTCAACTACATAAAATTTCTTATTTGGTGCATTTTTATGGGCACATTCAGCAGTCTTGCCATATCATTCTTTTGCAAATGCTAGTCTTCAGTCTAATAAGATCAATCGAATATATTTTGTGACAAACACCATTCTTTGCAAGAATTCATTGATATCTATTTCTGTTGTAGAGTACAAACTTTATCCTTAGTATGAAAACAGTTCTCTACTTTTATTTTTTATTATCTTTCCTTTTTCACCCAACTCACTTTTACTAAAAAAAAAAAAAAAAAAAAAAAAAAGGTAATGAAAAAGGACTTCAAAAAACATTTGTTTTTAATATATTTTATTGATTTTTTACAGAGAGGAAGGGAGAGGGATAGAGAGTTAGAAACATCGATGAGAGAGAAACATCCATCAAGCTGCCTCCTGCACACCCCCTACTGGGGATATGCTCACAACCAAGGTACATGCCCTTGACCAGAATCGAACCTGGGACTCTTCAGTCCACAGGCCAACACTCTAGCCCAGGGGTGGGCAAACTTTTTGACTCGAGGGCCACAATGGGTTCTTAAACTGGACCGGAGAGCCGAAACAAAAGCATGGATGGAGTGTTTGTGTGAAGTAATATAAATTCAAAGTAAACGTCATTACATAAAAGGGTAAGGTCTTTTTTTTTTTTTTTAGTTTTATTCATTTCAAATGGGCCGGATCCGGCCCGCGGGCCGTAGTTTGCCCACGGCTGCTCTAGCCACTGAGCCAAACTGGTTAGGGCCAAAAAATTTTTTTTAACACATACCAATGGGTAAGCAAAGTGATACAGAGAAGAGGGCTCAGGCTTGGAATCCAGCAGAGCTAGGTAAAGTTCCTGTCTGACCACTTATAAATTACATGGCTTAATATTTCCATGCTTCAGTTTCCTGATCAGTAAACCTGAGAAAATCCTCCTATCTTAAAGAGTTGTCAGATTTAGAAATATTAAGCCTGATGGGTCAAGTATAATGCCTTATACCTAGGAAGTACTTAGTAATCTGAGCCAGCTAAAATTGTTTCTTTTTACCATTTGGTGTTAATCCCAGCTTTTCGAATGTTATCTGTGCCATATTGTATTCTTTGTTAGAGAGACACTGTTCCCCTTTGTAGGACATATATATTGCCACCCCCTGACATCAGGTTTTGGTATGTGTCTTGATTGATTATCAGCAGAAGTTTAAGAGCCCTGTTGTGGTGGTGCTATGCATACTTTTCCTTGGCTAATTCCCAGAGAAAGCTGCTCCTTCAAGCTAGATCCCAGAGGGAAACCAGTGTGGAGTGGAGCGAAACCAATAATGCAGGAACATGGCGTGAATAGCATTTCAAGCCACGGGGTTTGCTGTCATATAATACTGTGGCACACTTACCCCAAAACGCATCATCTTCCGCCAAAATGGGTGGTTTCAGTATTTTAACAGCTATATGTATTTTTTTTTTTTATCAAGTTTGAATCTTTAAAAAAAGTAATGGAATGATAAAATATATATGGAAAATCAGCACCAAGGAACCAGAGAATACAAATATGCCAATAATAAGGATCAGCATGCTTGGTATAATTGAGCTTCAAGCTTTTTAGTAGTTGCATGAAAAAAAGATCATATACCAGTTCTTCAAAGGAAACGGAACTCTCCCTAGCAAGAAATGAAAGGACCCTACGTAGGCACAAGGGAATACACTGTCAATATTTTATAAAGTGGTGAATTCCAAAAATGTTAAAATGTAATGCACTGAAGGTGATATGCAATTCACTCATTTAATTCAGTCTGTAGCTTTTTGATCATATGGTTTTTATCAAGGTCAGGATTTAGACTACTGAAAGAAGTGAATAGATTACTTTTATCTTCTACATACTGCTGTGTTTATCACTTGTCTCAGCTCAGTTCTTGGTGAGAAGTAGATGCATCTTCTCTTCATTCAGCAAGTATTTTGTAATCACCTGCAATGTGTCAGGCAGTCTGAAGATTCAGGTACTAGAGATTCAATGCTCAATATTACTGACAAGTTCCTTGCTCTCATGGGGCTTACATTCTATTGGGGAAGATAGATAACAAAACTCTCAGGCTGTTATAAAGTCTGTAATAAATAAGAACTATTTAGAGTGTCCATTTCCCCCATGTGTTATGCTAATATGTGATTGTCAAGAATTTTTTTTATTTCACTTAAATTGCCACATTTATTGTCATAAAGTTGTTTTGAATATCCATTTACTTCTTTTTAAATGCCAGTAGGACCTTCAATTTGTATTCTCTCTCTTTTCCTCTCCTCTCACTCCTCTCTCTCAGTCTGCTGCCTATGAGTTTATTAATTTTACTAATTTTCTTGTAGAACTAACTTTTTCCAGTGCTGATAACCTTTGGTGCACATCTGTTTTCTATTTCATTGATTTCTGCTCTGTATTATGTCCTTCTTTCCATTCTGTTTGAAGCTAATATATATATGAACACCTTTATCTTGAAACTATAAGGTATCTTTTCTACATAACCTTTTCTTGTGTCATCAAATAGTCATTCATGAGGTATTTAATCCTTATATTGTCCTCCTTCTGACTCTTTTAAAATAAAGATTTCATTTTATGTTTGTCTTAAGTAGTTTCTATTAGTCACCAGGGCATTTATTTTACTTTTCTTCTTCTCCATGCACCCAAATGAAATGATATTGAGTATTGCTGCCTGTTGAATGATGTATGTGAAAAAAAAAAACAAACCCTAGAATGGAAGTGTTACCTTGAAAATACAGTGGATATGCAAGCACTGAAGTCTTTTACAATGCTGACGTGTTTTCCAAGGTTGATATTTAGTGTCATGCAGATTCAGAAAAGGCTTCTTATTCTTTTTGAGCTAAAATTAGTATGCACAGGCACAATCTCTGTTTTTCTTAATTTCTTAGTGTAATTGATGTTCTTTATTTCATTTCTATACCATCCTTATGGAACTGATTGTTTTAGTATGTTACCCAGATGATCCTCCTCATTGCTCTGTGTATTTTCAAGGCTTTTTATAAAACCACTTTTAAAAATATGTGCACAGTTCTCATTTTAAAATTTCTACTGCATATACATGCACACATTTCTGGTAAACTATTGAAGAGAGGACATTTTCCAAAGACTGGGCTGCTATGGTGAGGGTAGGTTAACTGGTAGAATACAAAGGAGCAGAGGGTGAGAATACGCAGTCACTTAAGCATTAAATCCTAATAGCACACTTGATTCTGGGTGAAGGCCAGTAGAATATTTTTCCTTACTCAGGCGTTGGAGTTATGCAAACAGAAGCTATTGCACACCAAGAGTTTCATGACTGAGAAAGTAAACTTGTACATTTGTTGTTGTTTTTTTGTAGGTTCAAAAAGGCATTTGAAAGTGAGCCTACACTACAGTCAGGAATTAATTATGCAGTTCTTCTTCTGGCAGCTGGGCAACAGTTTGAATCTTCCTTTGAGCTCCGGAAAGTTGGTAATTACAGCTTGATATTTTACATGGGAATCCAACTTTATACAAAGAAAAAGAATCATTGATAGATAGACTTTTGCTTTCTATCTCATCTGACTTCCTGAAAATTTTTTTATTGTATTTCCTTGTTTAGTGTTTCCAACTATGGTGCAGAATCCTGATATCGGGACTTAAATCAGTTTTTAGTTTATTTTACCTGTTTCGAAAAACACGCTGGTTAATATTTATTGTTCCAGTGCAAACTAACATAGAAAATATAGGCTCCTGCCCTAACCAGTTTGGCTCAGTGGATAGAGCGTCGGCCTGCAGACTGAAGGGTCCCAGGTTCGATTCTGGTCAAGGGCATGTACCTTGGTTGTGGACACATCCCCAGTAGGGATGTGCAGGAGACAGCTGATTGATGTTTCTCTCTCATCGATGTTTCTAACTCTCTATCCCTCTCCCTTCCTCTCTGTAAAAAATAAATAAAATATATTTTTTTTTAAAAAAAAGAAATTATAGGCTCCATTTTCGGTGGAATTTTTGAACTCTATGACACGTTATGGGAGAGAATCAGAATTATAGGTTTGGGTCTCCATCAGTAATGATGATGTAATAAAAGAACAATGTAATTAGAATTGAGACAAATCACTATTTGAATCTCATTTTCAAGGAGTAATAAAAATAAAATTTGTATCACTGAGTATTAGAATCTGTGAATCTATAAAGATAATTAAGACAAAGAAATCAAAACAAAATTCATCACCAAGCACAAATCAACTCATTTGTTATCTGTGGAGGTGACCAACTTCTCAGAAAATTGGGTATTATAGGGGGAAAACTAAGTACTTTCCATTTCTTTTAAAGACATTCTATAGTTCATCCAGTTGGTGAGATAAAGCTCTTCTTAAAGCATGCTACATACCAACTGTATTTTGTTCAGAAGAATGTATTCTTCAAAAGAGTGCTAGCTAATAGAGTAGAACGCATGATAAAACTGATAGTGATGTTGAAATAATGATTCTGGCCCGGATCAATGAAAATGTTTATTTGTAAAAAAAAAAAAAATTATTTGCCATATTTACACGGTACCAAAGCTCACTCACAGATTGCTTGTTAGGCACAAAGCAACAAACGTACCTGTACATCCCCTCCAGGAACCAGGCTGTCAGTGATCCAACTGGCATCCTTAGTGGATGACTCCACACGGGCCCCCTGACGTGGTGAATATGGAGCAAACAGCATCTGCTGTGAAATAGCCTCACCAAAAATGTGTAGCCCGAATTTAAGATCTAACATCTAGTTAATAGGAATCACAGTGTCTAGAAAAATAAATCAGACATCACCATGAAGCGCCCTCAGACATATCCATAATGTGAGGACGTTCTACAGTACCGTCCTCCTTGTCTCTTTAAAAACTCAGTGTCATGGGGGAAAAGTGTGGGTGGAGTGGTTACTGAGATTTAGCAACACAATAAACAAATGCCATTAATGATTCTTGATTGGATTCTGGTTTGGAAAAAAAAAGCTATAGGAGATATTTGGGAAACAATTAGAGAATTGTGCAATAATTGAATAGAATTTTTTAGGTGTATGCTGCAACACTTAAGGGTGAAATGTCATGATGTCTGTAATTTAATTTGAAATGTTGCAACAAAAATATTCAGGAAGATGAAGCAAGAGCAAAATGTTAGCAATAATTGAAAGTATGGCCATTCATTGTTACTTTTTTTTTCTCTTTTCATGTATGTTTGAAATTCTCCGTAATGGAAAATTGAAATGGAAAGAATTTAATCTCCTCTATTTATGGAGGCTGTATGACCTTAGACAAGTTGTTAAAGGTCTCTGAGCTCTTTTTTCCTTACTGAAGAAAAGAGAAAAGCTCTAATTCATTGTATGGTTGTATGAATTGAGAGTTATATTTCCAACATGCTTTGCACAGTGCTGAGCATCTAATGAGTGTTCAATAAAGGCTCTGTTTCCTAAATTCCTCCATTAAAGCAGCCTCCAAGTTGTAAATCTATCATGAAACTAAACTATTAAAAATATCTTCAGTTCTTAGAAGCCAACCACTTCTAATTAGAGCATTGTCTATTTAAATTACCAAAACAGACAACTGAATCAAAGAATTGATATTTGAAACAGGAGTGACATATTGTTTGTTGTGTATAAATTTAGCTAGAATTTTTTTAAAGAAAAATAGCCAGCTGATAAGGAGTGGTAAAAAGGTATAAGAAGGTACATCAGTAATAGTGCTTTAGCTATTGGCCCTAGGGATCAAGACCCTTAAAAATATTGTAGCCTAGCACTAAGTACGAGGTTACTTCTGGGACTTGTTCCTATGGAAATGGTCTCTAAATGTGGGGGAGGGGGGCATGTGATGTTTATTCCTGTATTCCTTGAGGGGGGGAGCTTCTAAATATAAAAATTAAAGCCATGTTCATAACTTCATACCTAAAGGATTAATATCTTCATGTAGAAACAGGGTTCATGCAGCATGTGGAAAGAACATAAAAGCTAATACACAAAAGAAATACAAACATGAAAAGAAAATCAATCTCAGTGGTAAAAAAAAAAAAAGGCAATTTTCTTTCTCTATCAGATCGGTAAAGATGAAAGGACAAGATAGTATCCATAATTGGGAAAGGTGTGGGCAGGAGATTATTGTCAGGTGCCACCAGTGCCAATATAAATTGGTACAGCATTTCTAAGGACAACTTGGCAAATGTATCAAAACTTAAAATCAGTGCATCTGCATGAAGCAAGACCAGGGTTAGGACTTTATTATAAAGAAACAATTGAATAAGTGCACAAAACTATGTGTATAGGAATGTTTGTAGTAATAAAATGTCATCTGCTGCATTTGGGTAAATAAATTGTGACATATCCATATGCTAAAATACTATTTGCCATAAAAACAACATTTTGTCCAAATGCTGAATGGTTTGGTGTCATAATCATAGATTTATGCCAAGGCCAAAGCTAAATATCACCCTCACAGAGTGAACTTCTGGCATGGAAGAATAAATCTGAAATGTTATTTAAAACTATTATTGAACTCCCTTTACTATTAAACATTTTCTTAGTCCCTACTTAAGTGTTTGACATGGCCCAGCCGGTGTGGCTCAGTGTTTGAGCATCGACCTATGAACCAGGAATTCATGGTTCAATTCCCGGTCAAGGTATATGCCTGGGTTGTCAGCTTGATCCCCGGTGGGGGGCATGCAGGAGGCACTGATCAATGATTCTCTCTCATCATTGATGTTTCTTTCTCTCTCTAAAATCAATAATATTTATATATATGTTGACATGGTATAATGATAGATCAGTCCTGGGTTCATTGTTCTGCACATAACACAGAATAAAGAGATGCTCATTTTCAACTGAGGTTGGTAGAGATGTTTTTCCCATCTCATTTTTCTCACACACTTTCTTCTTTCATTTGTATTCATTGTATTTTTTATTATGTTCAGAAAGGAGACCATGGATGTTGTTGCATATACATGTGTAATTTTTTTTATCTCATAAAATTTTAAAGTGACAAAGCTATTTTCTTTTTAACTTATCACAAAATGTGAAGAGTGGACTTCTTCCTGAAATAGTCATGGCTTAAGTGGAATTATATAATAAAAAGTAGCATAAAGTTTTTTGAAGATTATTTTGTTTTGTTAAAGTATAATTTTCAAAAAATATACATTTATAACTCAGAAACTATAAAATGGACACATGTAAGACATTTTAGTTAACTCAGTTGATACCGAAGCTAGTAGGAGAATATGTCCAGTTCAAGGAGCATTTAAGAAGTAGGGTATTTACAGATAATTTAACAAAGAAATGTTAGGATAAGATTTCTGAGTTTGGTTTTTAAAAAACTAGTTTATGTTCAAGAGGTCATAATCTTAGGGATTATCTGTTTTACTAGATAGAAATTATTTGCGTCTCTATTGAACAAAACCCCACAAGTTAACAAGTAAACTTCTCTAAGTCTGAGATCTTTAATAAATACAAAATAGTGAGATGAACTAACTACACTTTTCCTAGACACTCCTTGAGTGGATATACCCCTATGTAATATTGAAATGATGCCTTCCCCCCCCCTTTTTTTTATCTTACTCCCAAATCTCAGATAATTTTCTTGACAATTATGGATGTTAGTGGCACTAAACAATTCTGCAAGGATATATTCTCTTTAAGCAAAATAATTACAAATGCAAAAATAATATAAGACAGAGTAGAGATGAAAATTTTAATGAAATGCAAAGAATCTAGAAGGACTAAAACATTGTAAAAAAGAACAAAGTTGGAGGATTTAGATTACTTGATTTCAAATGTTGTTACATTAATCAAGAGAACATTTTTCTGTCAGCTTCCTTATTTTTAACGCTGTAGTATATAATTCTTTTTGCATATAATATTGTAGCATTTTACTCTTACAAAAGATATATACTGTACACATTTATATTTCAACTAACTGATAGAATGTTAGCATATTTCCCTTTCAAGTAATTAAAGAACCTATGATATAATAAGGGAATGAGGGAGGTTATACAATAAGACACTTGGTGTTAGCACCTTTTAACTTTTGCATATACAGACATACATACAAACTCTGGAATGATGTACATCAAAGTGACAGTGGCAGGTACCTTTGAGTTTTTAAGTTAATGGTAAGTTTCACTTTCTTCTGTGTGCCTTTAGGATTAACCTGACATTTTTACAATGAACTCAACCCCCTTTTATAATCTGAAACAGAACAAGGCTATTTTAATCTGAAAGGAAGAATGAAAGCTTCATTTTGTTTTTTAATAAAAAGTCAGCTCTGCCTACTTGCTGTGTGTTTGTAATGTTGTACTTCCTGTCCGTCTTCTAGGGGTGAAGCTTAGTAGCCTTCTTGGTAAAAAGGGAAACTTGGAAAAACTCCAGAGCTACTGGGAAGTTGGATTTTTTCTGGGGGCCAGTGTTCTGGCCAATGACCACTTGAGAGTCATTCAAGCATCTGAAAAGCTTTTTAAACTGAAGACACCGGCATGGTAATAAACTGTTACGTGTTTATACAATGGCTTTTCATAAACAGCTCCTATCACTTCTTTCCAAATTGTTATATTTGTTGAACTTACAATTAGATTATTTTATTTGCTTACAGAATAAAATGCAGAATATAGAGAAAAAAACATGATGTCTATAAGTAAAATGTGTTGAATATAGGTTCTGATGATTTTCGACATGGGTGATGTCTGCCGGCTACTGGCTTAGGCTTTCTCTCACATTGACCAACCCACTCACCCAGTGTTACCCACATAAATCATGCAGAAGCCTCAAACTTTATACCTACAAATCTAATCAGCAGGTTTACAGTTTCCATCTCAGCCTCCCAGGCCTCTGCTCCAAATACATGCCCTTTGTTTCCTTTATGATCTAATCTCAGTTTTGGAATTACCATTCTTTTTACTTAGGGTTTACTCACACATTTTGGTGTTTTCTCTCTCCCTCTTTATGTGTATGTGTGTGTGTTTTTCTAATTTGAAATTGTTCTTGGCATGCACCCAAGTCTCATCATTATGTATGTGATGATTGGAGAGATGAAAACAAAATTCCATCTGCATTTAGGACTGTTTTTGAAAACAGTGCTAATTTTATTATGCATCCCATGTAATGATTGACCATTTATCCATAAAGACTTTTAAAGGTTGACAATGATACTGAGAAAGGCTTAGAACAGCTCTGAGCCCAGGCCACCGACTTGTTTTCCTCCGAGGAAACATTTGAGGAGAAGACCACCCTGTTATGTCCTCATACCTTCCTAAGGGATTTTCTCATTTTCTGCAAATCCTCCCCAGCATCACTCCCATTGTGATCTTTCTGGCCTTCCCCCTCCACTGGAATCCTTAAATCAATATAGTTCAATGGTGCCTCAGCCTAAGGGATAAAGTCCATCTCCTTGGCTTGGCTCACAAGGTTTGCGCTTAGTCATTCCAGCCTCGGTTTTTGTCACGCTGCTGTCCGTTCACACGGAACATGCCATGCAGCTTGGAAATGCCTCTTGCAGCGCCCTTCTCCACCTGGGGACACTCATAAATCACATCTGCTCAAAATCAGACCCTGACCTTTAACCCTTCCCTGCTTCCAGATACAAGTTCATGGATATCATTGCATACACGTGTGATTATTTCATCTCATGAAATTTTCTTCTTTCATTTTTCTGCATTCAGACATTGTTAGTCATGTCTGTTTAGTATTAGCTTTGTTGATATTGATCACATGGTGCTATAATACCTTTTACCTTCTGTCTCCTCAGCACTGTGCACAACTTGAGAACAGAGTTGTACTGTCAGTAGTATGCTTACAGAGAGCAGTCAGCAAGTGACATGAAATACATGAACTAATAAATGCATGCGTTAAATGTAGCCAAATTTGTTATTTCTTCATGATAACCATTCTGATGGTAGAGGAGGTTGAGACTGAAGCACAGGTACAAAGAGATTTGGTTTTAGGTATCCTGGTTTCTATGGACAAGAAAACAAACATTGTTTTATTCAATAGTAATAACAATGAAACAGTGCCTTAAATTTCCATTAACTTAATGTTAGCTTTCATGCTTATAGTTTACAGTGTGCTTGCATACCCAATGTCTCATTATAATTACCTTGCTTCTCATTTTTGCTAACTCTTTTCTTGGAGGCACCAGCTGTCTTGTCAGATTTGGGGATTTTTGTATAATGTATAATATGAGTTGCTTCAGGTAAAATAATGATCTTTTATGAAGGGTCTATTTAGAAAAGCTTTCTTAAGGAAGTATATTTAAAAATAAATGTGTTCACCACTTCCTTGAATAAGATATAGGCGTTATTTTAAAAGTCATGTTTTAAGTAGATGTATCACCCAGTCCAAGTTACTTAAACTCTCTAAGCCTCAGTTTCCTCATCTTTAAAATGGGTATAAACCAACCTGTTTATTGCATTTTTGTGAGATTTAAATGAGATAATGTGTGAAAGTCCATGACATATAAGAAATAATGGATAATGTTTGGTGAATCTGAATGCATAATTTTTAATGCCATATTTACACTTATCGAGTAAGACTGGGATATATGGGAACAGGTGGTTCTAAATTTGCCTCATGTGTTTTATATCTTTAATGTTTAGGTACCTCAAGTCTATTGTAGAGACAATTTTGATATATAAACATTTTGTGAAATTGACTACAGAACAGCCTGTGGCTATACAGGAACTCGTGGACTTCTGGATGGACTTCCTGGTCGAGGCCACAAAGACAGATGTTACTGTAGTTAGGTTTCCAGTGAGTATTCTTTGTTTAACTTAACTCTAATTATAGTTCTATTTTGTTTCTTTCATTTAAACTTTATCTTGCATTGTGGTTGTAATAGTTTTATATGCTGATTTTCATGCCCTAAAACAACAGTCATGTGGTTAATACATTTATTTTCTGCACATTGGTTTGCATTAGCTTACTTTTTAAAATAACTTCTCAAACTCAGAGAAATGAGATACATTTTTATGTTTTGCCATGAAATTTGGAGGTTTCTTTTCATAAGTTGTAAAGTGCACTTTCCGAAGAAAATATTGTCCCTTAGTTCAGTAAGTCAAGACATCTCTTCAGACCAGACATATGGGTACTCCTAATTCAGACTCCAGCTTTGTTGACATCGTCATCAATATCAATTGCCATTATTGTGGTGAAAAGTGTCAGGCTCACCTGCGTTGTTATTCCGTTTCTAGCACTCATTATCCTCACGAGTCAGAGTTAGATGTAGTATCCACAATCACGCTTTACAATGCTTTAGATCATGGGAAATGATGACTTGTAGGTTTTGGTCTGTAACTAATTTTGGTTAGTCTCTTTCAAACTTCATATATATATAATGGACACACACACAAACGCTTTAAAAATATACTGCTCATCTTCTCAGCGAGTGCCATCCCCACCCTGATAGCTCTCAGAATCCCGTCTAAAGCAGTATACAGCTTTAGCATCCAGTGCAAGAATTATTGGCTACTCACTGTGTGCGTAAATCTCTCCTCACATCAAAGTGCTGCCATACCTCTCTCTGTTTGAGCTCCTCGTCTCAGTCTTCCACACCCAGAGGTGGTGACAACTCAGTTCTTTTCACAAAATCTTGTTCTGTAGTTCTTGTTGACAGCATCATCTGTTTGATTTAATTAAATCAATTGCTGGCATTAACAGGCTTTCTTTATTCTTGTTTTCAGATGAAGCTTGAAACGCAGCAGGAGCTTTAGTTGAAAAGCCTTTCATACTGAAACACTTAACTTTATTTTCTAGCCTAGATTATGCGTAGCTAGGAAAACACTTCTCTCAGAGTGAGCTGGCAGCTTGCCGTGAGCTGGTGCACTGATGCTAGTAAACGTGGTGGTGAGAGAAGACAGCACAGATCTAAGTATTTAATTATTGACTATTGACTTGATCGACTAGAAAATTAGCTGTGAGAGGAAAGCACTCATATTAGCTATTCCGATCTGATTTAAATTAGCTTAATATGAATCACTCTGTCATAATGTGAATGTACAAAATAAAACCAGAAAATATGAAGAGAGAAGTTAGTAGAATATAGGTATATAGTCCAAGTGAGAGAGGCCTTCTTAAGCAAGAAAGGGACCTGTAAGCCTGAAAGGCAAATATTGACCAATTTGATTTCATTAAAAATTCAAATTTTTGTTCAGTATGAAACACCACAAACATGGCAAATGCGAGACAGGGAAACAATACTTAATACCAATGCTGCAGAATGATTAATTTGCCTAATATGTATAAAACCTCAACCAACTCCTAATTTATACACAAAAGAAATATGGGCAAATCATGTGAAGAGAAAATTAATATCACTGAGTAGTCAAATAAAGAAAATAAAAATGAGACACCATTATACCTATGCTGTTTTACACATGTGCAAATATATCTGGAGGATAAATTCCCACAAGTGAAATAGATTAATATTGCCATGCTGCCCTCCAACAAGATTATATCATATGACGTACCTACCATCAACATACGAAGCTGACTGCTTTCCCAAAGTCTCTCCAAAAAGTGTATTGTCAGAGTTAAGTTTCTGCTAAATTCATAGATGAAAAATGGTATATTGGGGTAGCTTTAATGGTGTTTCTCTTATTACATGTGAGGATGTGCATATGTGTAAGTTCATGTGTTTAAAAGACCACTCAGTGATTTTTTTAAAAAAGAAGGCTTTGTTGCCACCATTTAAAAATAAAGAGTTGGACCTTCAGTGCTTCCTATGATGGAGTAAATGGTATTGGTGTTGCTAAAAAATACCTCTGAAATCCGGACAAAATGCACAGAACAACTATTTGGAGGCATGAAACAGCTATTATCACAGTACTACAGTCCTTGGAGGTGAGGTACTTGAATTGAGTCCCACCTTCACCCATTAGTTTTCCCCCAAGGTCATTTTTCTGGCTGCACCCAAGGAGGTGGAGCCCTGATTGGGAATGGCTTTCTCACTGGGCGGAGCAGACACATACCAGTGTTTGGGGCTCTCAGGCATCTGAATATGAGGGGCAGGCAAAGTTAGAAAAGGGGGATCCTTGAAGAATGAAACCCAGGATTCTGCCTGGCTATTTCAGATAGTGTGAAAAAGGGGTAATCATGTTGTGAATAAACACAACTATAGTTCCCAGTCTTTGACTAAATTGGGTTTTGGATGAGACCTATATGGTTTAAATAAACCTTATAAAGGTAAGTTCCCTTGATATTTAAGACATCCTGACCTGAATTGGCAGAGAACATCCTTTGGAAGGCTGAAAGCTGAAGAGACACTCCAGAGCTTAAACCATGCAGGGATAAACAGTTGGACTTTGGGCCAAGATAGAGTGATGAGACCTTGGTGAACACCCCAAGTCCTTAGTTGATACATAGAAACCCAAGCCCCAGGAGTAACTGCAAAACTAAAACAGACCACCCTAACAAAACCATAATAAAAAATAAGGCCTGATAGGACCAAGATGATACAATGATAACTGCTAACTAGGAAAAAAAATCTCTGGAAAGATATAATTCAAAGCATCTGCAGTGTCATTCAGATTTAGTCAAAGATTACTAAAGATGTTAAGAAGCAGGAAAGGTGACTGATAATGAAGAGCTAAGACAGCCAATAGAGGCAGATCCGGAGGTGATTCACATATTGGAGACACCAGATAAGGACTTCAAATAACATAATGACCATGTTAATTAAAGAAGAGGAAAAGATAGACAAAATGGGTGAAAAGTGGAATATTTCAACTGAAAAATAAAGTTTATTAAAAATTCAAGTGAAAAATCAGGAGAATTCACATAAAACTCCAGACTTTCAACTGCTCTTAAAAAATGAAAGGGGCCTGGCCAGTATGGCTCAGTGGTTGAGTGCCAACCCATGAACCAAGAGGTTACCAGTTCAGTTCCCAGTCAAGGCATATGCCTGGGTTGCATGCTCAATCCCCAATACAGCATGCAGGACCCAGTCAATCAATGTTTTTTGCTCATCAATGCTTCTATCTTTCTATCCCTCTCCTTTCCTTTCTCTCTAAAATCAATAAAAACATTTTATTAAATAAAAGGGAATTTAATTAATTAATTAAAAAATGAAAGGGACTGGCAGTTTGTGACTGCATACTTCAAAAGCAACAATCTACAGAGCCAACTAGCTGCTCCCATTTAAGATGTTGAGTATAGTCCCATTCATCCTGCTTTACTCATTTACCTGTCCCACCAGGCCCACTCTCTGCAATCATAGTTTCGTACCCCGGTTCCACTGCATAGAAAAAGGCAAGCTTCTGGTTCCTGTGGGACCATATCAGTCATTGTGACTTGTCATGTCCTTAGAGTAGCATTTTCTGTGGTTCACACTTATTAAAGCGGCAGTAAGACTTGATTGAGGTGATAACATTATCCTTTTTTTGAAGTGGGTCTAAGACGAAGATGACTTATATTAGAAAGTAATTTAATTTGTCTCCGTTTATCTCACTCCTATATTCAGTCTCATTCCTCCAAGAAAAACCATGACCCTGAGCAACAGAAAGCAGGTGAAAGTTCTTTTGGGAAATGATTTTAATGGTTCCATCATTTATTATTATTTAGGTTCAGTTCAACTTATTTTTTTTCTCTCACCTCTCTTCTGTGTATATTTTCTTTTCTTCTTACAATAAAAAGTTAGGTGACCATCGACCCATCAACTAATGTCAGGAGAGAGGAAGTGGAGTGTGACAATGCAGTTAAATGTCTGCTTTTTATAGTTTATAGGCCTTGCTGTCTTTCTTCCCACTTCAGATACATAAAGTTAGCAGTTGACTGTGGTGTTAACCAGTATAAAAGACTAGAAACTAAAAGCAAAAATGTGTATACTATGGAGTGGGTTGAATCATGATGGTTTTATCAAATTGCCTCTTTTTTGGGGGGGGAGGGGGAGTGTCTTTTCTCAACGTTTCAGTGGCCTCCAAAATGCTACAAATTCCCCATGTTTTGTCATTTCCAGGGCAGATCAAAGGGCTTAACAAATGTTAGATGACAATAATTGCAACCAGTGTTTATTCCCTATCTCAAGGCAGGAACACATAATTCAGATTTTATTTGTTAGAAATATGTGAGACAGTAAACACAATTTAAGAAGACAGAAGAGAACCTGGTGCTGTGCTTTTCTAAATGTTAAATAATGTGCCTGTGTAATTAGGGAGTGAGGTATGTTCTCATTTGTCAATGCAATGACTTGGATGCTATTTTGGGATGGGAACTCACCTCTTATTCCATATTATTCCTTTTTATTTCACAAGCCCTAGGGTACTCAGATTGGAGAGCACTATTTCTGTAAAGCTTAAATTGAACATTTATTTTCATTATTAACCAGTACCACTTAACTCTGTTGATTGGAATTTGGACCTTGATTTACCTGGTATGTTCCTGAGTCAGAATATATTCCCCTCTGGGCTCTTACTCTCTGTTTATTTATGGTATATTTTATCTTATTTTCATAACTAGAGCCTGACCAAGAATTCTTTATGCCCTTACAGTTTTATAGTAAAGCGTAAAGAAATTTTGTTTTTCTAATCCCCTTTCTCTAGTTCCCTGTACTTTAACTTAAATACTGTTATAAGTTTATTGTAAAATAAATACAATGGGTTTGCAGTGTATGGCTGAGTTAATTTCTAACCCAGATTTCTGTCTAAGCTGCACTTTAGGTTATAATGTATTGTGAATTCCTTCTTGACAGAGCCTTCTGAAGGATTTTTCCTTCACTTTTATTTGGGAAACCTTGCTTGATACAAGATCATTTCTAAAAAGGCAATTATTATGAGTTTTAAGCAGTGGAGCAGAAAGAACTATTCCAGTTTCTCTGCTAGTTAAGCATTTAGCTTTATTTTTTACTAGAGGCCCAGTGCATGAAAATTCATGCACTGGAGGGGGGGTCCCTCAGCCTGGCCTGCCCCCTCTCAGAGTCCGGGAGCCCTCAGGGGCAGGAGGCGATCCGACAATCAGGGGAAGGCAGTGCCCCCATCGCACCTCTGCTGCTGCCACTGCCGGCAGCGCAAGCCTCGCCAGCCCTGGTTACCTGAGCCTTGGGCGGCCCTGGGTGTCTAGACAGCCACCATTCGAGGCTTTCCTGTGCCTCAGGCCAGACCTGGGTGGCTGGGGGGCTTAGGGGACTGGGGGACTCCGGAGGCAGGCACGTGGAGCGGCTGGACCTGCCTGGGGGTGGGCCTGGCCGTGCTGCACGCCTGCTGCCCTGGCGGGGCTGAGGGAACTGGACACCGCCATCTTGTGGCTGTGGGCGCCACCATCTTTGAGGGCGTGGCAGTCAATTAGCATATTCCTCTTTATTGGCTGTGGGTGCCGCCATTTGTGAGGGTGTGACAGTCAATTAGCATATTCCCTCTTTATAAGATAGGATTATTTTTAACATTCCTATTTAAGTTTGCATAGGAAAATTGAGCTAGGCGGGTGCCTTTAAACATCTGTACGAAATAGATAATAATTGCAGCACCTTTGAAATAAAGGCATGTGTAGTATTTTAATGTTATTTGCTCCTAAAATGAAATATTAGTAATAGTATAATATATCATGCACTCCTTCGATGGAGATTTTCAACTCACATACCCCTCATATAGCTCCAAAACAAGAGCAAGTTTTTTTCTTTTTTTATCACAAGATTATAAATACATCATTATTAAAGATATCAGTTGTATCATGAAGTCAGTGTGAAAACATATTTATTTCATACAGCTATATCCATTTCTTTGATTTATATGTAAACTCTTTCAATAATAACCAAAATAATTTCTCAATCCATTTACATGGGTATGAAAACCATACATCTTGATCATAGGTGTGGCAGCAGGAAACCTTAAGTATGTGACATTCTATATGTGGAGTCTTTTCCTTTCCTTGTACAGAATTATTTGTTTTTACCACATCGCTGCCTTTCTTTGACACATTTACATTTATAGAAATAGAGTATGTATTGCCTGATAAGATAAAAGCTTTTAAAAAGTACTATCAGTAGATTGATTGGGGATAGCCAAACAAATATATGGTCTTCAGAAATTTATTTCCAAGTTTTTTAGCAATAAAAGGTGATGTATTATTTTGGAACTTATGATAGTTGTATAATATCATAAATACTCAAAAGACCCATAGAATGGGAATAGTCAGACCTTTAAATGGTTTATTCTAGCGGTGGACCCAGAACTTCATTCGATAATCAGTGCCTTGTTGTTATGTCAGCTCTACATGGTTTGAATCCTAAGTCACTAATATTAATTTATTTTGTTTTATGTTTTCAAGGTATTAATATTAGAACCAACCAAAATCTATCAACCTTCGTATTTGTCTATCAACAATGAAGTTGAGGAAAAGACAATATCTATTTGGCACGTGCTTCCTGATGACGAGGTAAATTGTGCAATTATTAAGACGAGTATTAATAGTGAAGGACTATACCTTTGCAGCATTCATATGTTCCAGCAAAATTTGCATTAGTTAAGAAGAAATATCTTGATTATATTATAAAATGTATTTATGCTAGGGGAGGGGCTGCTGGTTGAATCAACCACCATTGGCCAGTGATTTAATCCATCATGACTGTAATGAAGCCTCTGTAAAAGCCCATAAGGACATGGTTCAGAGAGCTTCCGGATTGGGGAACACATGGAGATGTGGGCAGAGTGGCCGCTGAGAGAGGGCACGGGAGCTCCATGACCCTTCCCACATGCCTTACCCTATTCATCTCTTCCATCTGGCTGTTCCTGAGTTCTATCCTTTTAAAATAACCCAATAATCTAGTAAATAAAATGTTTTTCTGAGTTCTATAGTCTGCTCTAGCAAATTAATCAAACCCAGGGAAGGAGTTATTGAAAGTTCAGATCTATAGCTCCATGATGGCATTATTCCAAGTGTAACTGACCAGAAACAAAATTAGTAATAAGTTGATAACATTGTTTTAAAGTGGCCATTGTTTTATTTACATTTTTAAAAAGTATATGGATATATATCACATGGCAGAAGTAGAATAGTCACCCAGTTGAAACCACAAAAACTAAAAGAGGTTAGGAGAGCATTATCTGGAAGAGGAGATTTTTCAAAGGCTTGATTGGAAAGAGCAAGGTTGTCCAAGGACACTTGGAAACAGAATGGGGCTAAAGGAATTAGCAATTAGCAAGGCCCCTGCAAATGAGTGGAGAGCCAGAAGTATTTGGAAGACAGAAAAAGAGCAGAAAGTAAACCAAAGATTTTGGAAAATGACTACTATTTCTAGCTTGTGGTCATTATTTTTCCTTTCTAGAGGTTCTTCATTCAGTAGAGTTAGCCTTGTATTGATTCTCTTACGTTTTCCAACAATTGTAGAGACAGTTTTTATGTTATGCTCAAAGAAATAAACATATTAGGATAGAAGTGAATGCATGAAGGATTAAAAGTTTTATTGTCAATTGTCTTTTCTTATCTTTTGATCAAGAAGAATTTCTGCATTTGCATATTGCTCATTTCCTGTTACCTTTAGTGCTAAAAATTCTTGTTCAAAATTTAAGCTTTCTTAAATCATTTAGTTTCTGTTTGAATCAGCCAATTTCTGTGCAAACCCTGGTTTTATCCATTCATTAGCACTGCCATTTTCTCTGTTTTTTAAAACAGAAGTGCTACAATTGGAATGAGGATAAGCAATAAAAATAAGATCACTTTGTTATTATTGTTAGTTTAAAGCAACTGTAATAACTATAATAAAATAACAGATAAGCAACAGGTTTAATACATCTTATGTTAAGCAGGAAATGGATTGTTTTTGTCATGGAATGTTTAAATTTTTTTCTAGAAGTAGAATAACAGAGAATGTTGCTTTTCATCTATCATATTTATTTCGTTACTTCCTCTCTCAATGCTTTCATTCTAACTCTGGAATGAACAGTTACGTGAGCTAGTATTTAACCTCATTTTGCAACTTTAAAAACTTGAAGATCATTACCCCAATCCCAAGAGTTCAGGGACTCTCTGAGAGTTACTCTACATTCAGGGGCAAAATTAATTGAAGTTCCAATCTTTTAACTGTTCTCCCTTTGTTCAATAGATGGTTACTGCTTAAAGTAAGTAAGTTAGTACTTGAAGAAAGAAAGTCTGCATGAAAGAAAAACCTAGATTGAGGAACAGAGAAGTTATTTGCAAGATACTTTAAATGCTTGTTATTTAGAATTCCCCTCCGTTTAGGTTTGGGGATTAAGCTCTCCCATCCTCTCTGAAGGCTGCTCAGACAGCAGGGACTCGGTGGAGTAGGATGTGCTGACCGTACTCCAGCTCCATCCAGCCCATGGCCACTCTGAGACGACCTAGGAATTTATGAGGGGAATATGTTGGCCTAGGACTGTAGATTTTGATGATATGATGTTCTCACCCCTCAAAGATACGTTTAACTACAAACCCCCCAACTAAAAGTGGCTTAAATAATAAGGAAATGTTATGTAATATTATAAGAACTTCTGAGGTGGGTTCATTCTGGGGATGATTTCAGTGGCTTGACAGTGTCAGAATTCTGAGTTGGCTTTTCTTGGCTTTTCACTCATGGTCTTAAATAGCAGCTCTAGCATCACTTGACACAGACCAAATCCAGAGGAGGAGGTCAGGCTCTTTCCTTATACAAAAAGTTGCATCAGGTGGCCTTGCCTAAACCAACCACCAGCAAGGGAAACGGACTTACCACGGCTGATGTAGACTAATCAGTTTCACTGTCCCTAAGCATTGTCACCTGAACAAAATTCATATTTTGTTAGCAAAGAAGAGAGGGAAGGGCCATTGCCTAGGGCACCAGTAATGTCTCACAGAATATAATTCCTGCCACCTTACCTCAATATTAATTCCTAGCTCCTGTTCTTGCCCTGGCTGCGGCACGGGATCTGAGGCCAAGCAGTTCCTAGAAAACAGTGCTTGTGCTGATTAAATAAGGTTGAATGTTGGTTTGGGGCTTGTTGGTGTTAAATATCACTCCAGCTCTGCCTCTGGTGGCCCTTTCCCCCTCATTCCCAGCGGGGCCCTGGAGCCTTTTACCTCACCTGTTGGCTTTGTGGCTCACCAGCGCCGCCATGTGGAGAGTCCACTAGCAAGGGAGGTGGGCAGAGGCCTTATTCCCTATCCATCTCGCTCAGGCTCTGGGCTTTACTCCGCTGAAAGGAAAAGTTCCCTGGCAGCACTAGAACCTTTTAGGAACCTAACATTCTGAAAATGCTGTGCTCCTTTCCTATAAAACCTGCCCAATCAACCTGGGAAATCTCTCCTTGGCTGCTCCCAGAGCAGGGCTGATGGAAGATAGGTTTTACCAGTGCCGTCTTGTTGGAGTCTGTCAGTTGCTGTGTTCAATTGCAGGTTTGCACGCTGCCCTATCAGCTCTGCACTCAGCCCCGCCTCCTTCTCCTGGGGTGGCCTTAGGACGAAACTGAGGTGCCGGCTGTACGTCTAAGGCTGCCTGTGCGCAATGGTGTGCAGGTTAACAGCTGCAGCTCCTGGGGCGCATATACTTAGATCACCTGAGGCCACCGGGATTCAGAAGCAATTTCCAAATTACCAGCTGAAGCTGCAGGCTGCTATTTTATTTTAACTCCCCGCGCACTCTGGTTCAGAGAACCACATTTCCAGGAGTCCCTTTCTATGGTCTCTGTCTTTTCTGGGCTTTGTGCACTGCAGCATTTGCTCTGTGGTAATTCAGGTCACATCCCCATGACCTGATTAATGTGCATTGAAACGAGTTTTTTAGTAAATCTACTTTAGGCTTGACAGAGTCTATTTTTATTATAAGTTACATGATCCTAGCAAATAACTAGTTGCTATGAATATAAATTGTGGCTTTTTGAGTTGCTTTGGCCAGAAGGAGAATTCTGGGCCACATCAGAGCCACAGCTTCTTACCCATTTCATTGGCTCAGCCAAGACCTCAATCCTCTGGCAGCATTTTAAGTAGGTGGGTAAGAGCTTGTTTTCTTGGTTGTTTTACATTTAAAGAAATGACTTGCAATCTGAATTGGCTACTCTACAGGACTTGCTAAACTTGGACACATGTAGCGACTACTTTATTTCTACAAAAATATTTGTGGTTAATTCTGTATTTTTGTCAGACATATTTTTATAGGGAATGTGACCCATCTTGTAATTTAGTTAACTTTGAGAGATATGCATTTAATATTAATTTTAACGTAGCTTCAGTAATAATTCAAGAAATTAAATCCCCGCAGTTTTTTTCATCTGGACCCTGCAAATCACCTGTGTGTATCATATGATAATCAAATGTTTTATGTTCAAACTTTATTAGTTTATTGAATCTTACATAAATTAGGTGACAACACACCCTAGCTATGATGGACATTATATACATGTGTGTATACACATGCGTATTTGCTGTGCCATTTTCTGAAGAAATAGAACCACCTATTTAGTTTAAAATATTAACTAAAGATAATTCAGAAATAGTTATCTTCAAACCCTTGTAGAGATTTTATTTATTTATTTTATTTTTTAAAATATATTTTATTGATTTTTTTACAGAGAGGAAGGGAGAGGGACAGAGAGTTAGAAACATCAATGAGAGAGAAACATTGATCAGCTGCCTCCTGCACACCCCCTCCTGGGGATGTGCCCGCAACCAAAGTACATGCCCTTGACCGGAATCGAACCCGGGACCCTTCAGTCCGAAGGCTGACGCTCTATCCACTAAGCCAAACCAGTTAGGGCGAGATTTTATTTATTAATGTTTTTTCTTTTTCAAAAAAGAAATACTGGTTGACTATAATAATTTTAAATTGATCTTGATCACTGATTTTTATCTTTAAAAATTAATGCACAACATTTGTTAGGTTTATCTGCTAAGAATAAAATTTTAGAAATTAATGAGACTAATCCTCCTAGACTTTACTGGAGGTGTTTTATTGAAATAAATAAATTATTAAGTAAATATCACCCTTGTGGCTTGAGAATGAATTGTAGTTTCCACTCAGATACAAACCTCAGTTTTTAAATGACTCCCATCTCAAACAATTCAGTTCTCGACCAAGTTGTCCGCAGAAAAATGTCTCAGTTGTTGAACAAAACTGGTTCTTGACCCAACAACCCTTTCATGCTGACACCTCAGCATGACAACAAAAAGCATCTCTCAGGCGACAACATGACAAAAAGCGTCTCCCAGGCGACAAAAGAAGAAAAAGCCCAAATATGAATCAGTCTATCACTAAACCTTGCATTGTTAACATCTCAGGAAATTGTGCTGTGAATATTTTCCTGATTTTTTGCTTTTATTGCTGGCAAAATAGACAATTAGCACAATTTTAAAACATAAAGATTCTTGGCCATCAAGAGTGCTGATGTTGCTAAGTGTGTGAAAGTGCTCACAAAACAGCAATCACAGGCAATTGAAGTGGTAGAAAAATTGTTGTTGATTTGGATAAACGAAAAGCAGTTAGCCGGTGATAGCATGTCAGAAGCAATGATATGTGCAAAAGCGAAGATTCTGCATGCTGACCTGAAAGACACCCTGGAACAAGTGCCAAAAGTGATTCATGTGAGGCCAGTAGGGGGTGGTCCGATAAATTTAAGAAAAAAGTGTTTTATTTACAGACTAAACAGTACATTAGACATGCACTGTATATAAGTAAAGGTTAAAATGGAATAATTTGGAGTCTGGAGTGGATTAATTCAATTTACATTATTTCTAATGGGAAAAATGATTTGGTTTTCAAATAAGTCATTTCAAGAAAAGGCTTCCAGACTGAATTAAGTTCGAGAACCAAGGTTCCACTGTAATTTGTTTGTGAAGAATTGTACGTGAGGGAAAATTACTCTGTGTATCTTATTTTAAAAGAATAGAAAAAAATCACTGTTGTTGTGTTATTTTAATTTGGATTACTGAACATCTTTTGTTCTTTCCTTATATTCTAGAATGGTATACATGAGTGGAACTTTAGTGCTTCTTCCATCAGGGGAGTGAGGTAAGTCTCCTTGGTGTATTTCATTTTCTTGGAAGACATTTTTCTAGAATATGACTGTCTTGACTACTACTTCTAGTCATGATTTAAAAATGCAAAGAACCTCAGCAATCCTTCTATTAATGAAATGCTCAACCTTCTTTAGACTCACTATCTCCACGACTGAAAGATTTGCAAAAACTTTCAAAGTTACGTGAACTGACTCTGTGCTTGTCACTAACTTAAAATATGATGACTGATGGGTAAATGTGATCTGTGGGTCAGAATCAAGGTATAAATAAAAGTGAGCTAAGTGAGTTCTCCCTAGATGGATCCCAAACATCTTCTACCAGATTGTGTCCCATAGCTCACATTAATGGGGTGTGGTTATAGGGAATTCATTTTTTAAAAAACTTTTCCTGAAGTTACCATCAATGAAGTGTTCTGAGATTAGAGTGACTCACTTCACTTTGGCTCAGTTCTCACATTGCATCATAATGCCATTGACTCAGGAAATGCCATTTCCTGGGATTTAGAAATGAGGTGGTTTTGGTTTTGGTTTGTTTTTTTCATAATGAAGAGCCACCAATTAGATGTTTAAATGCTTGTTCTATAGAAACTCATGCTAGACCAACTCTTAAGAATTTTACACCAAATTAGTTGTGATTACTGATTTTTCTCCCCACATAATAGCAACGTGGGGAAAAAAAGTATCTGAAGGCCACATATGCAATACCCTGTTGCTGTTGGCATAATAGTAATTGGTTTTGTTGGAACATGAACTGGTAATTGGTGTTTGCCTGGTAATACCACCTGTTACCTTATGAATGGTCTGAAGAGAAACATGCAAGATTGTGGGTTGACTCATTATATATCTTTCCAATACATGCCTTCTCAACTAAAGCTTTATACTCTTAATATTTGATTTTTAAAACAGGTCATTAGTAAAACACTCATTATTTATAGCTGCATTTTTAAGCAATCCACTTAGTATGGTAAACATACATTTCACTTTATCATATCTATTTTCCAATGAATTAGTTTTCTTTAACTAGGCATGGCATCCCTACAGAACCTTTGTTGTGATTTACGCATATACAAAGAATGCTTACATGAGGCTACTGCTGGCTTATATATTGGGAAATGTGAGTTCCAGTGTGTGACTTCAAAGAAAGCTAACTCTCCTGGGTTTTCTCCTCTATAAAGAGATGAGAAGTTATAGAAGAAAGTCCAACGACTTCAGCAGTTTGTCTTACATCACCTCAGAACTTTCTCAGCTCAGTGAACGGGCATTTATTGAGCACCAACTGTGTGTCAAATGTTGAGTTCTATTTCATAAGAATACAAAACACTAAGACCTCAGCTCTGCTCTCTAAGAGCTCTAGGTGCAGCCGGGGAACAGACACTTCACAATTAGTGATAATGCGTAGCGAGGTGAGCAGTGATAGAACTATGTGCAAAGAAAAGAGGTGCAAAAGGAAGTCTTTCTATATAAGACAGAAGTAGGGAAGGGAGTAAGGTCTAAGCTTGGTCTTAAATGATGAGTAGAATTTATTTTAAAAGTAAAAAATAATGTGCATTCTGAACTGAAGGAACAGCAGGTGCAAAGGCATAAAATAGGGATTAGCAAACTACACCCAGGCCAAACATGGCCCACCACCTGTTTTTGTAAATAAAGTTTTATTGGAACTCAGCCTTGTTCATTGTGTATTGTCTAAGTCTGCTCCAACAGCAAAATTGAGTCATTTGGCCCACAAAACCTGAAATATTTACTCTCTGGCCCATTACAGAATATATTTGCCAACCCTTGGTGTAAAACAGCATGGCCTGACTGGTAATCTCAGAACTGTTCTAATTGCTGTGAAGTAAGCCACTTGCTTAGTCCAAACCAAGTGATGTTCCACTGTGCTTCCTCTCTGTAAAATCTCTACAACTAAGGAGGTGCTTTTCCTGCCTCCACACATTGCCCTTCTAGCTTGGGAAGCATTTTGTTGTTCTGCAGACGTCAGAGGAGCAGAGCATCAAGGTCAGTCAGCCAGTGGACACTTAGGCTGGTCCTCCTGGCACGGGGCCAGCGCTGCAGAGGGCAGGACACCTTCCTCAGGCTGAGGTGGAGGGACACAGCTTCTGTGTGCGCACCAAACCCTAGAGCAGTGATGGCGAACCTATGACACGCGTGTCAAAGGTGACACGCGAACTTGTTTTTTTGGTTGATTTTTCTTTGTTAAATGGCATTTAAATATATAAAATAAATATCAAAAATATAAGTCTTTGTTTTACTATGGTTGCAAATATCAAAAAATTTCTATATGTGACACGGCACCATAGTTAAGTTAGGGTTTTTCAAAATGCTGACACGCCGAGCTCAAAAGGTTCGCCATCACTGCCCTAGAGCAACTCTGTCTTACAGACATAAGGAAGAAGACAATTCTCAGAAAATTCAGTAATTTTAGTCTTGTGGTACAGGAAATACTACTTTTTAAAGTACTGTTTTTAACTTTTTGTCATAAACAACATTGATTTTATAAGTGGGACCAGATAAAAAAAGTATTTATTTTTCATGACAGTTCCTGAAGTATTGGGATTTCCCTGAATAATTCTCTCTGTTTGTTTCAGTATTTCTAAGTTTGAAGAACGATGCTGTTTTCTTTATGTGCTTCACAATTCTGATGATTTCCAAATCTATTTCTGTACTGAACTTCATTGTAAAAAGTACGTATTAGTCATGGTTTGTGTAAAAAGATGGTTCTTGCGTGATCATTATTTTTAATTAATGAGTGAACATATAGCATCTGAAAAGAATTCAAGGCTATGTAAATATTTTATTTGGGCTAATATTTTATAATTATGTGGTATGTTTATCAGAATTTTGGGGGCTCCCTTTAACAAATCACTTTATTTCTGACATTTCTGATCAACCACAAGCTATTCTCTGTGACACCAGCTGAGTATCCTGCAATTTAATTCATTTCTAACAATATCTGTCTGGAGAAAGTGTCTGATCCCACAGGTTAAAGGCTCAGTCCCATGAGACTTTCTGCCCCCACTGTAGATGCCAGTCGCAAGCTCAGGGGATCTCACCTGTGCTTCTGACCAACTGGCTATAGATCAGAGGTTCCAATGGCTCCTGCTTGGGTTTGATTGGTTTGCTAGAGCAGAACACAGAACTCAGGGAAATACGTTTATCAGTTTAGTGGAAGGATGTGATACCAGGTACAGATGAACAAATGGATAGATGAAGAGATATGTAGGGCAAGGTCTGGAAGGGTCCCAAAGCACAGGAACATCTGTCCCCATGGAGTTGCAGTGTGTTACCTTCCTGGCAGCCACGTATTTGCTAGTCTGGAAGCTCCTTGAACCCTGTACTATTGGAGTTTCATGGAGGCTTTATCACATAGACATGATCAATCATTATTTTTAGCCCCTTTCACCCTCTGTGGAGGATGGAGGGTGAAGCTGAGAAGTCCAAGTTCCTAATTATGGCTTGTTCTTTCTTGTGACCAGCCCCCATCCAGGTACCCATGCAAAGTCTCGCTAGAATAGCGGTTCTCAACGTGTGGGTCGAGACCCCTTTGGAGGTCGAACGACCCTTTCACAGGTTTTTGACCATCGGAAAACACATATATAATTACATATTGTTTTTGTGATTGATCACTATGTTTTAATTATGTTCAATTTGTAACAATGAAAATACATCCTGCATATCAGATATTTACATTATGATTCATAACAGTAGCAAAATTACAGTTATGAAGTAGCAACGAAAATAATTTTATGGTTGGGGGTCACCACATCATGAGGAACTGTATTAAAGGGTCGCGGCATTAGGAAGGTTGAGAACCACTGCACTAGAAGATGCTGCCGTTTCTCTTATCACTTAGGGATTGTTCAAGCGTTTTAGGAGTCCTGTGCCAGGGATAGGGATCAAAAACCAATTAGAGCAAGAGATGCCTGCAGTGTTCTTATCACTTAGAAAACTACAAGGGTTTTAGGAGCTCTGTGCCAGGAACTGGGGGCAGACCAATATATATTTTCTATCAACTCATTGGTACAGAGATAGAAGAAAGGTTCTATCTGGTAGGTAACCTGTTCTTCCCTTGGGCTGGCAATGCGCAGCATCAGCTCTCACAGTACCTGATCATAGTGCCTCCCTTACTGTATGTCTGGAGACCATTGGCATCCCCTTGGAACGGATAGCACGGCTAGTGTTCCATGGGGCAAATCTGTTTCTCGCTTGTAATTATTTTTCTTGGCTCTGAGTTGGCCTCCAGAAAAAAGAAAACTTTATAAGAAGAACTCCTGAAGGAAATGTCACCAACAGCAAGGTGGCTTCTGTCACAAACATATAAGCTTGCCTGCTCCTGGTTCACATTAGTGTTTGGCAGACTGTATCTATGATATTGAGGTGCTCAGGCAGAAGATTTGAGTCACTGAGATCAAGTGTTGTAGTGGCCAACACTGTATCAAATAGTCACCTCAGAATTTAGAGACACTATTCTAGAATATGGGTATTATTTTAGGTCCCATTTAAATAAAATATCAACAGCAGCAAAACAATAATAGCTCATTTTAATGAGTGCACTATGCTAAGTAGCACTTTACAGGTATACCTCAAGTCATCTTCACAACCACCTAAGAGACTGATAAGTATATCCCCCATTTTATAATTAAGGGATGAGTCTGAGTTGGAGGAGCTTAATCATACAAATACTAGCAGTCTTGGTCTGATATCCAAGTCCATTTTCCTAACCTTGTCATTTCTATGACCTTGTCTAGCCTCACTGTTCTAATTCTATACCATGTATATACTACTGTCTACATGCAGTGGGGCATGAGGTTGGAAATTTCTGGAAGAGCCTGTTTTCTTTTTGAAAAATCATATTTTCACTCTGATACTGATGATTGTTTTTATTGCCTGACATTCTTAGCTCCTAATTTTTTTTTTGCTCTGAAATCACTTTGGAACATACTTGTTTTATGTATTACGAGTGACCACATTCCAACTTCCATCGTAGGTTTTTTGAAATGGTGAACAACATTACCGAAGAGAAGGGGAGAGGTGTGGAGGAAGGAGACTGTGAAGGTGACTCCCTGGAGGTAATGACTTAGGTTTCCATTGTTAATTTTACCTAAGTAAATTTTACCTAAGTTTCTCCATGACTGGTTTTAAAAAGTGAACTATGTTAAGCTTTACTGAGGAAGAGAGAGTGTTGTGGGGGAGGGGCATATGACTTCTATCCTTTGCATTCCATCAGAAAATTTTCAAATCTGTGACGTAGAATGGCTTCTGCAGTATTCCCGACGATCTGGATAGTCTGTATAGTAAATTCACACATACTTGTTTTAAGTATTTTGACTTAGTTGGCCATGATGCCACAACTCTTGATATTGCTGGCATTCTTTTCGTGGGTGTTCTATCAGCATCACGTTAATGAAAGGACCCAGTGATGTTCTGGGCTGTGAAGACGATGAGCCCTGCCTTGGCCCTCCCTCTCATTCAGTACCCTTCCTGGCCAGAGCACTTTACCATATGAGTTATTAAACAGCCTTAATTTATATTTTTGCATAATTTATGATAATTCCATTATATCTTTTATTACATTTCTTAGATGCTTTCAACCTTCTTAATTAAAATTATTTTTTCAGTATTCTGAATATTTTGTTAAAATGAGCTAATTTCATTACTGTAAACTAAACTCGAACTTCAGCCTGTAAATGACATACCAAAAATAATTCCTCCACTTCCCATTCCTTTCAGTGTAAACAGGAAAGATTACTTTGCTGATTAAGATTTTTATGCTGAATAATTATTATCTGATCTTTACTTCAATTTGAGATAGAATTTAAATTGTTTCAATATAATTCCTGAAGCTTTTTAGGTCCCTGGGCCCAAAACAAAATTAAAATGTTGGAGAAGTTAGACATTTTTTAATGTTTTAACTTCACTTAGAGTGGTGTCAACATTCAGCGAATATTAGCTATTAATGTGGTCCTGTAAGCCACAAATTTGAAGCTAATCCTTCAAATTTTTGATGTTTAAAAACTTTTCATTCAAAGTTCAAGTTAATATTTGCTTTTATTTCTGATTTGAATAGTCAGCTTTCTTTGAAGCAATCCAATTGTGGGAGAGATTTAGCCTCTTTGGGTCATGGTCAGAACCCCTTCTAATCATACCTGGCTCTTGTGAGATCCCCGTGCTGGGACAGGAACCTTGAGTTCTGGTAACTTTGGACAAAATTTATACTCCCACTGGGCTGAGATGATCTCATTCCTTACATGAGAGTTGAACAAGATCTTAAATATCCTTTCTTAGCTCAAGTATTTTATAATTTTCAAGATTAGTACAGACTGTACAAGGTTTTTCAAATATAGCTCAATATCACTTTGGGAGGACTTTTCTATTTTTAAACAGAAAGAGAAACAACTTCTTTTGATTCCAAGCCATGTTTTTTGACTCAAGGCTGTATTTTGACATGAAAGGGTTATGAACCCATATTGTAAATAATTTAATGTATTAATAAGTTTATATTGAAATCACTGAACAATTGAATACAGTTCATCATTGATTAGATTATAATTAATCATAAGGGTTCTAACACTTATCAACTGTGGTCCCCATTTTTGTTCTCCCAGCCATCCATAGCTTCACTAAGAGCAGGACATCTGCCCAGTAACCCAAACCAGACATCTCAGAGAAACTGCCACTCCAGCCTGTCTTACCCCCACACCCAGTCTTTCCTCCAGCCCCTTCATTTCATTCCATCACTCCCCCATCTCAGGGCCTAATCTCTCCTCTGTTAATAAACGTCTCTGTCATCAGCAGACAGACCTCTCATGTGGATTTAATCCTGTGACTCCCCTAATTATAACGATGTTCTTAACTGTCTGGCTATACCTTACCCTTTCCTTTGCACCCTACGGTATGGCAGTGCCAAGTCCTTTTCTGTTTCCCAGACAGCCTGTCTTTGGGCTTGACATGCAGATGCCCAACTCCACATGCTTTTTCTGCTCTGTCCCACTTGATTGGCTGCATCCTAAATTTTTGAGATCCAATTCGTGTCATTTTTTTCTTTGAATCAGTTTTCAACACCTCTTCTCACTTTGCTCTACTCTCAAAACATTTTTACCCACTCCTCTGCCCTAGCTCTTCTTATTGCATTGTAATTCGGTAGTCTGCACTGAACTCTTAACATCCCAAGGCTAGATCATGGCTCTATCCCCTTTTTTAAAATAATTCTCACCTGAGGATATGTGTGCGTGTGTGTGTGTGTGTGTGTGTGTGTGTGTGTGTGTGTGTGTGTGAGAAAGAGAGAGAGAGAGATAGAGAGAGAGCGAGAGAGCGAGCTAGATATCGGCTGTCTCCTGTACACAACCTAACTGGGGATCAAACCTGCAATCTAGGTAGGTGTCCTGACTGGGAATCAAACTCACAATCCTTTGGTACACGAACGACACTCCAACCAACTGGGCCACCTGGCCAAGGTTCTACCTTTTTTAATCACATAGTCTCACATGGTGCCGGGTATCCAAGCAGAAGTACAGTCAGAAGGCTTTGAAAAGTTTGAAGCTTGGGTGTGGGTATGACAAAACCAGAATTGTTTAAACAGTATCTCAAACTGAGGAGAGGCTATGGATTGAAGGGGGAAGAATAAATGCTGGTAAATTGGCTGGAAGGTTGTTTAATCAATATTAAATCAATGAAAGAATGAATACCATAATCGAGCTGAATACCATAATCCGGCCATTATCAACCTATTCTCTTTTCATTTCCTTTTCTTATTTCCTTGGAAAAAAATGACCGAGGTACTTCTGGTGCTCAATACGAAATACGTTGTGTCTCCCTCTCCACTCCTCTCCCAAACACATAGACATAGTCTCCCTCCATCTGTCCCTCCTCTCTCTCTGCCCCCTCCTTCCTTCCCTCTCTTTCCCCCCAACATCCTTCTTTTTCTGCATTTTCACCTCACTGTTTTATCAAAGTGAGCTTATGATTGAAACAAGCCTGAGACAGTCATGGCAGCTGGCCCTGTGCACCTGTTTTTACATAGTTGCCAGTGTGCATAAAGGGAAAGGTGACCCCTTTTGGGATGGAGTGGGGACAAGCAAGATAAAAGGAAGGTTTTCCTTTGACTCAAACATCTGCAGGACGATGAAATACCTTACCATCTCCTTTCCTGATGATTTGCCTCACAAACAGTGAATTACAGTTTAGAATTCATTTAAATCAATTTGGAATCATCAAGTTTCTTCAGCATCCTTTTTCTATTTTGGTTCATATCTAAAGCGCAATACCCAGTTACCACTCTGTCTGAGGAAATATGTCACTTAGAGTGTTGTATGAGATGAGTGTCAATTTGTCACCCAATCATTCGTTCTGTTGGCAGAAGGAAAGTTTTTCCTCTACCAACTTAGGTTCACTGATGGGGACCTGCAGATTAACTGGCAAAGACACATTAACAGGAGAAAAGATAAAGTTTATTCATGTACATGGGAACATACAAAGAAGTGGCTCCTGAACAGCTAGAGTTAAGAGCTTATTTATTTATTTTACCCAGAAAAATCCTTAATAGGACTTCAAGGGAAAGAAAGCACGTGGCGGGAAACTACGTAGAAGCAAGTGGAAGGTACAGAAGCTTTTGGAAAAGTTTTGTCTTTGTAATTTCTCATCCAGGTACGAGTGGTCCTAAGCCTCCCAGAGAGAGGTTACGGCCGCTGTATTTTCAAGAGACTTTGCTTAAGTCAGCACAAGAAGTTTAGATAAGGGTTTTACTTAGATGTTTTCATTCAGCTTAAAATAATGGTCATACCGCATTTGTGTGTCCAAGTGTATCTCATCAGTTCACTCAAATATTTACTGGACACATACTCTGTGGTAGGCACTGTTCTAGGTGCTGGAGACACAGCAGAGATCAACAGAGGAACGTCCCTCATTGAGCTTACATTCTAGTGAACAATAAACAACATGAATAAGTAAAACAATATGTTTGAAGGAAAAGCAAGGAAGGCATTAGGAAGTTAGTTTAATGGGGTGTGCAGTTTTAGACAAGGTGATAGTTGAGTAAAGATTTGAGGGAGGAGAGATCAAACTTTATATGTGCACCTGCAGCATTTTTAGCATTCTATTGATATTATTAATAGTGATTTCTGTTTTTCATATTTCTTTATTAAGAAGGCGATACTGAAAATTAGCAAAGGTACTATTAGGGTCGTTGAGATGACCACTCTGTTGATGTGATGAAGTACAGAGGGAAATGCATGGCTTTTTCGAAGGTTGCTTTACTGTCGGTCCCTTGACCATGCAAGGACTACGTGCATCACCACTTTGTCATTTGCCGTCCTAGGCTGATTCCCTTTCCAGCACCAATTTAGATTGCTCTAGGCAGGCAGCAATAGAGGGATGATTCCAGAAGTATTCCCATTGTTGCTTCAAAATGCAGCCGTTTCCCTTAGCAACAACCCGATTTGCTTGCCTATTGCCATAGAAATAAAATGCAAAATACATAAGCAGTGTAATTCTACCTTTTTTTTTTTTAAACATTCCTTTCCCTGCTGCTCCTCTTTTTCTCCATTTTTGTCATTTAACATGCCCTGCCTTCCCTTGGCTCTTGGCCCAGCTCTGTTCTACTTTTCCTGACCACCATGTAGATAATTCTCTGTCCTCTACGGGCCAGGCAAACTAGTAAGACCTCAAATTTTTCTTCTTACCCAAAGCCTTTCAGTGGTTTTATTCTCCTGGTAGAGTGTGAAATACTTTAATAGCACCAGAAGCTGAAAAACAAAAGAAAGATTAATTAGATGTGATAGGTACTGATACTAATCATACTTATCTCTAGAGTCAGTGAAAAACAGGATTTAGTGGGTAAAAGAATCCAAGTGGGCTTTTGAAAAAAACTCTTAGGGATTTAAATACATAGTCCCCATTGTATTTGTATCAGCTGTGAAAACATGAACACACAATCTGGTTTATATTGCGAATGTCTATTTTTTGGTTCTTAAAGCTGTTTTTTTTCGAATTTCATCTTATTGTTTCCCTTGTATAGCCATCTGCTAAAATAAGGAAAAATGCTCTTGGAAAAAGTTGGTGTTAAAAACGTAGAATGCAACTAATGTTTCAATATTCTCTCTCCATTTTTCCTTTTGTAGTATGACTATGAATATGACGAAAATGGTGACAGAGTCGTTTTAGGAAAAGGCACTTACGGGATAGTCTATGCAGGTCGAGACCTGAGCAACCAAGTCAGAATCGCTATTAAGGAAATCCCAGAGAGAGATAGCAGGTATAGTAATTGTGGCTAATAAAGAGCTGTTTTCTAAGGTATTTGGGGTTGTTTGTAGCCTGTTAGAGAATATTTTGGTGAAACTCTGTCTGAGAACTCTGTGGTTCTAATGAGCTCCCTGTGAGGTTAAGCTGCTGCATCATTCAATGATTCAGTTACAAGACTGGTGGGAAAGGACAGCATCTCTGAGGAAACAGAACTCTTAAAGAGTGGAAAAAAGAACGGCCCTGTGTGTGTTGGGCCCAGGTTATGTCAGAGAGCAGTGGTTTATTATAGGGCACATGGGGAACCAGCACTATCTGAAGCTGTTCTAACCAGAGGTTCCAGTTTCCAGTCCAGTCCAGCAGTTAAAGGAGGTTGGAAGACATCACTCCATCTTAACAACAAATAGAAAGCTGAACACACTGAGAAATCAGCAGCTCTACTTAAGGGTTATTGGTCAGTATTAATGTTAAATTTGCTGGCTTATAAATGTTAGAAATCAGTTTTTTTTAATGACTAACTCAAACCATTCTGTGTGTTGAGTCATCAGAGAAGTAAGGTCACAGGACAAGCCGCTGCCCTCCCCCCCCCCGCCCCAATGCCCCAAATTGGGGAGGCAGTCACACTGTTGGGAGTTTTGCTTTCAGGAGCACAGCTAGATCCTCACAGAAGAAAATCCCCTCATACTTCTGAGAGGGGTTTGGGGGGAAGGAATCATTTTGAAATACACCAGAGCATTCTGTTTTTAGCAAGGCCTGCCCTCAAGAGAAAGCATTTTACCAGGGCCTTGCCTTTTGGGGTGTTATCAGAGCCTAACCAACCTGGGAGAAGGGAAATAACCAACTCCAGCCCCTTCTAGCCATCCTGGCCCACCTCAAGGGTTTGGGGTGGACCGAGAAGCACTGGTGCAGTTCACAGCCCAGTGGCCCAGGCTCACTAAAAGACTAGAATGCTTCCCCTCCGAGAGTTCCTTTACCTGTTATACCATGCCTGGTTTTCAACAAAAGTTACAAAGCATACTAAAAGGCAAAAGGCACAGTTTGAAGAGACAGAGCCAGGATCAGAACCGTCTCAGATATGGCCATGACGTTGGAATAATCAGACCAGGAATGTAAAACAGTTATGATGAGTATGCTAAGGGCTCTCCTGGATAAAGTAGGCAGCCTGAAGAACAGGTGGCAATGTCAGCAGAGAGGTGGAAATCCTAAGAGAGAACCAAATAGACATACTAGCGATAAACCAGTAACAGAAACGAAGAGTGCATTTAATGGGGTGGATGCCTAGCTCAGTCTCTATGCTTGAGGCTATGTCAGTAGAATATTCCAAAACTGAAAAGCTAGGAGAACAGACTGAAAAAGAGAGAACAGAATATCCAAGACTGTGGGACAACTACAAGAGGTGTAACACACGCCTGCCTAGTGGGAATAACAGAAGGAAAAGAGAGAGAAAAGAACAGGAGAAATATTTGAAGAAATGGTATGAACTACACATGGTGGGGACTTTTTTGGAAATAAGAAAGTTGTTCAGGGGAGAAACAGCTCTGGTAACAGGATTTTCTGTTGCTCCTGGCTCTAGTGTTCTGTTCTACCATTGGCTTCTCCAACCATTAACGAGCTCTTCTCCCAATCTCATGATTTCTGCTGCCCTCGTGGCTTTTGTTGTGTCTTCTCTCCATAAGATCCTGCTCCTACAAAAACTGTATATGTTTTCCATGTGTTGTGCGTTCACACTCTGAAAGAGAAAGGATTGGATTCAGTCCAGTGTTACTAAAGTCTTTATTTGGCCAGACTTCAATGCCGGGCTGCATCATGGACTTACCTAGGCTTCCTTGAATCCACTTTTCTATATCCATGGTACCAGGGTCACATGTCCAGTTTTCTTTAGAAAGGACACTCTCCTAAGCTTCCTGGGTCATCTGTCTTTCCAACCTCTCCACTTGTAAGTCTAAAAGGCACTTCCAGGTTAAGATGGTCAAAACTGAACCACGGGTTTTTACCAAACCCAAATGGACTCTACTTGAAGTGTTCCTTTTCTCAGTTAAGATTACCCCATCTATCCAGCTGTTCAGGCTAAAACCTAGGATTAGTTTGGATTCCTCTCTGTCTCTCACTTTGCATCAACTCCATCAGCAACTTGTACTATTGTCTCAACCTCTGCATTCTCTCCTGAATTTTTCCACTCCCATCACAACTCTAGGCCTCCAGGTCCCTCACCCAGACTCCCTTCTGCAAATACCTTGTAACTAGACTCTGCTTCCACTGTTTCCTCCACCCCAACTCCATCCCTCCTCAGAGAAGCCAAAGATCTTTCTGAAGTTGAAATCACATCTTGTCACTACCACTTAAAACCCTTCAATTGTGCCCTAGCTGATTGGGCCGAGTGGATAGCGTCAGCCTGCAGACTAAAAGGTGCCAGGTTGGGTTCCAGTCAAGGGCATATGCCTGGGTTGCGGGCTCCACCCCCAGTAGGGGGCGTTCAGAAGGCAGCTGATCAACGTTTCTCTTTCTCATCACTGATATTTCTGTCTCTCTTTCCCTCTCCCTTTCTCTCTGAAACCAATAAAAATATATTTAAAAAAGAAAAGAAAAAGAAACCATTTCCAAGCTCTTTAAAAAATAAACACCCTTCAGTTGTAACCAGCGTAAAACCAGAACCGTCCGCATAGACATCTGCCTCCCTCTGTGGCCTCACCTCCTCCACTACAGCCACACTGCCCTCTCCCTGTCCATCAAGCGCACCAAGGTTCACTCCCCAAAACCCAGCAGGATTGCCTCATTTTATCATTTAGTTCTCAGTTCAAATTTTAAGCCATCAGAGAAGCTTTCTCACACTACTCCAGGCTGAAAAAGACACATGAAACCTGCGTCCCAGCTCCCAGATCTCTTTCTGCCTCTCCATCTTCAGGGTGTGACTTTCACAGGTGACCTCTCTGTCTCCAGATCCACATTCCAGGCAGGAAGAAGAAAAAAGAAGATAAACTTTTCCAGAAATATCCAGCATACTTTTACCAAATGCAACCACCCCTTACTACAGGGGAGGCTTAGGAACTCAATAGCTTTTTAGCCAGCCATTTGTTTCTCCAAACAAAATAATAGAAAGAGGAAGAACAGATGCTCGGTAGGCACACAGCTGCTACTGTCTGCCACACATGGTTTCATGTTCTCTATGCTATTGTTGCAGTTTCCTCTTTGCGATATATTTATGAATTCTTAAAACGGTGATAGAACGTACTCATTAAGTACCTAGAATAATATGTGTCAATTTGTCATATTAAATTTTTTGTTAAATATTCCTAATAGTTCTTAAGTAATATGTGCATAGCATATATTTTGAAATAATAAAGGGGTTGTCACTATCAAATTGCTGCAGCACACTCACTAATCTTTAGCAACTTCCCCTCCCCTTACCCCCTTCCCCCAGATGCATATAAGTAAGTACTTGGAAGAAAGCCACTTTTAAAATCATCTTTGTAATGTGGCTACATTGAGACACAAGTTATGCTTCCATCACAGTAATCTTATTACAGTGGTGACAATGAGACCTGTAACATTTAAAAAAATAAAAATAAAATAAAATAAAATCATCTTTGTAACTTAAGTTTATTCAGCCACCACTGTGCACACAAAGCACACCAGCAGCAGCAAGGTCCTGTTTTGTAACAGTGCATTTGGCGTAATTTGTGGGTTGTTCAAAACGTGCATGATAGGCCCTTCTCTTGAGCACCTGGTGCAGGGCATCTTCTTGTTATCAAGAAAAGAAGATTACAATAAAGTCTATCATATTACTGTGAGGTGCAGCACACAAGGGTGTTTCCCTCTATGTGCCCTGGAGAGGTTTTGGTGTTGCATTGTAAAAGATAGCAGTTAGAAAGGATAATTACTGAAGTGGTAGGATGGGCGTGAATAATGCATGATCCAGCATACGCTACACATTGCCATCTGTAATGGAGGATCATAGCAACAAAAAGTGTCTTCTGTGTTTCCTTCACACTCTGTGAACACTTTGTTAGAGAATCAGGGTGCAGTAAGAGTGAGGCAGAGGAAGCACACTGTCCGAGTCCCAGCTAGTTGTTCCTCTCAGGTTGGCTTCTTCCTCTAACAGTCTAGACACCCCTGAGCTATTTATTTATATCAGTTATTCTCTCCCCCGCTGTATACTGGAGCTAATTGGGGAACTTGTAAAAATACTGAATGCCGGCCCTAGCCCAAAAATTCTGGGTTGGGCCTGTGGTATTTTTTAAAGGCCTTCCAAGGGATGCAAATGTCCATCCAATGTGGGAACCACTGGTTTAGATGGTTGTAGTGGGGATTTGACTCAGAGTAGGTGCTCTGGAGACAATATAGATTAATAACTTTTCAAAGCAGAATATATGCAAGCATCTCTGATCTATATCATTTCTTCTTTCCATTGTTACAGCTAATTGAAAAGAAATAGGATTTCTTTATAATCTCCATAGATAAGCATAGTTTATTGACCTGAACAAATTTTAATTTTGTGCTCATGCAGCGCTTGGCACTTTCACTTACACTTAGTGAGAATTACTGGGTGTTAGTAGCCATTTCCATATTAGAGAAGCGTTCTTATTCTTAACTAGGATGAATCCTGATTATTATTGTAATTTTTGAGCTATCCTTTGGTTACCTAATGAGGAGGTAAGGGGTTGGCATATGTTTGTTTCTCCAGGATCTTACATTTAAACAATCATAATTGATTTTCAATAGAGGGTCAGGAGGTGGGAAACCTTAGGTTCATCATAAACTGAGTTAGTCACTTGATCAAGGTCATTTAGTCATCATGATAAACCTGTACAATAAGGCCAATATTTTCCACTAATTTATCTCATGCATATCAAGAACAATCTTATCAACTAGTGTTATTAAAGTGATTTACACCCCATGGAAAAAATAACTTGCAAATATCTTCATAGTTTAGAGTCATTACCTAAGTATCTTATTGGTAACGTTTTTTACTGGTATTTTTCGTGTTAGCTCATTCAAGCAATTATCAAAATGGTGATGGTCTTCACTGATATCCTGTTAAAGGGCTCAGGTTAATAGCTGTCTTCATAGTTCCTAGAGCTATTCAAAGGAAGATAAAAGGAGTAAAAGTCAGTTTTTTGTTGTTGGCAGTTTTCTGAATATTCACAGTTTATAAAAGTTTGTTTAAATTAAACAAATTTGGATTTTTGTAATCTAATGTTGCTTTAGTTTACTATTCATGAAAATGGTATTATTCAGCACTAACAAATTCTAATATTTCTTACTGACATTCAAAAAAATCCATCCTGCCTATATAGATTTACCACACTAATATCTGAGCTTTGCTTACATGTAGGACTGAAGCAGGTTATGAGACATCACATTTGTACTTAATATGCCTTAGTAGTTAGTGCCTTTCACACCTGTAGCCTTCATTGTAGAGCAGGGAAAAAAATTCGTGAATAGTTTTGATACTCTCTTTATCATTGCTGACATCTTGCCATTGTTAGTTGTATAATAATTATATTAGAGCTACAGTGGATTCAAGATTAAGAGTCTGCAAGTTTTATAGTTCCTCAAGTAATCATCAAAAGTGTTGTTCTGTCTGTTCCAGAAATATGAAATACTTTCATTTTATAATTTGATAAAACAACATATACCAAGTATATGATGTCGAAGTCTGGTTTAAAGCTGTATAGTGTATAGTCTTGGTTGGGATTTAATTTTTTTAAAGCCTGATAGAATAGAATTGGTGAACACAGTAATGTGAGGATTTCAAAGCAAGGGGTTCACGGAAACTTGGCATATAAATGGAATAGTAAAGTTACGTTATGCTATGAGACCAATGAACTTACAGCCAGTGAGGCCATAATAAATTATGAGACAGCAAGCTATGTGGATTATTTCTATTGTCCTGGGTTCAAATCTTAATTCTGTCACTAGCTTTGCAATCTTGGGCAGGTTAGTCATCCTCTTTCTGAATCAATTTCCTCATCTGTAAAATGGTCATCTTAGTAGCCTTCTCATGGGGTGGTTGTGAGAAATAAGTTAATGCAGTGGGGCCTTGACTTACGAGTTTAATTCGTTCTGAGACCGAGCTCATTAACTCAAATTACTCTGTCAACTCAATGCAAAAAATCGGCTGAGAGACAGCTGGTATCTCAAAAAACTCGTTAGTTGGGACACTCGTAAATCAAGGCCCCACTGTATCTTAGAAAAGTGCCTGGCACATTTCCCCTCAGGCCTTCAACTTCACAGAATTTATGTTATTAGAAATAAAAGCCTCAGATGGTCATATTTGATTTTATATATGGGTATAATAGCTGACAGTTTCATTTTACATTTTGTAAACTTATATGCTAAAATCTGGCTAACACAATTAGCTCATCAACATTTGCATGTCTTTTAGATACTCCCAGCCCCTCCATGAAGAAATAGCATTGCATAAGCATCTGAAGCACAAGAATATTGTCCAGTATCTGGGTTCTTTCAGTGAGAATGGTTTCATTAAAATCTTCATGGAGCAAGTTCCAGGAGGTAAGCGATGTTTTTTTCCTTTAAAAACTACAAATTTCTAGGGCCTTGAAGAGAAGTAACACTGAATGGGATTTGTAGGTTTATAGGTCTTAATTGGTCTAAGTTAAAAGAAAAGTTAGCCACATTGCATTACCTTTCATTTTATTAGAAAACAGTAAGTATCTGAAATCATTTTAATGTCAATCATTGTGACTTGGATTAAGGTTAGCGAATGAGTGGCTTTTTACTACTTACTATTTTATAATGAGCATCTTCAGAGCGGGGACACTTGCCTATTCATATTTGAGCCCTTGTATCCAGTACAGTTCCTGGGCCACTGTAAATAACCAATAAATGTTAGATTAAATTAGTATTACTTTATTAATGTACTTTAAGAACTCATTTGGATTAAGATTTTATCCGCTGTTTTTCCCTACTTTACAGGAAGTCTTTCGGCTCTCCTTCGTTCAAAATGGGGCCCATTGAAAGACAATGAGCAGACAATTGGATTTTATACAAAGCAAATACTCGAAGGATTAAAATACCTCCATGACAATCAGATAGTTCACCGGGACATAAAGGTAAGATGAACTAGGATTCATTTTCATATGTTCCTTGTTGGGTAATTGTTTTATTTTCAAAAGCCATGTTATGTTATGGGTATTAACTTAGAATGGTGAATAAATAAATCTTAGGAATAGAAATAGAAGATATTGCTCTGTCCTGAATCAGTCATTGATATTCATATCTTATCTATGAAAGGAATAAACTCCTTATCCATGTTCAGCCAACAAAGATTGAGCTTCCACTGCGTGCCTTGCACTGTTCTGTATGAGTTTTGGCACAGCAGAACAAAACTGAACGGGAGGATGATCCCTGCTTCTGGGAATTCAGAGGCTGGTTAATCTTTATATCCTTGCCCATAGTATCAACTCAGTAAATATTTATTGAATCAATGAATAAATGATTAGAAGGAAAAAAGAGCCCTAACTGTTTTGGCTCAGTGGATAGACCATTGGCCCTCGGATTAGAGAAGTGTTCTCGGTTTGACTCTGGTCAAGGGCATGCACCTTGGTTGTGGGCTTGATCCCCAATAGGGGTTGTGCAGGAGGCAGCTGATTGATGTTTCTCTCGCATCCATGTTTCTAACGCTCTATCCCTCTCCCTTCCTCTCTGTAAAAATCAATAAAATATATTAAAAGAAAAAAGAAATCTCTTCTCACAACCATCACATATTCATGGATTAAACGAATATTAGATAACTTAGTAGATTCTCTTTAAAAAGAGAATATTCAGAACTAAATTTCTGACAAAGGCTGGACTATGGAAAGTAAATTAATATTACTACCCTAAAATCAACCCAAATATCTATTTATTTGTGATATACTAGTATCTTATTATTCTAGAAAAATAAGTAAAACAACCCAAATGCCTATTTATTTGTGATATATCTTATTATTCTAGGAAATTAGTAAAATAACATAGAAAAGGAAGTAAAGTGACTGGGGAATTATGACTATCACTAATAACCCGGTGCACAGATTCGTGAATATTGAAAGCAAATTAATTAGAAGAAATATTTTAATATAGCTATTCACCCTTTCTCTATAATAGAAGTTTCAACCAAATTCATGATTGACAATGACAGACTGAAAGACAGGCGTTTGGCGCCAGCGAGAGCTTTATAGCTATTGTGCATGCACAAGTCAACTTAGCCTTTTATGGATATAGAATAAACTTGCTTAATTAGAACTGCTTTCTGATTTATTTATTTTTTAAATTAAATCTTTATTGTTCAGATTATTACATTAGTTACTCTTTTTTCCCACCATAACTCCCCTCCACCCAGTTCCCACCCCACCCTCCGCCCTCACTCCCCACCCACTGTCCTCATCCATAGGTGCACAATTATTGTCCAATCTCTTCCTTTACCCCCACATCCCTTCCCCCCCCCCAAGAATAGTCAGTCCATTCCCTTTCTATATCCCTGATTCTATTACAATCACCAGTTCATACTGTTCATCAGATTATTTATTCACTTGATTTTTAGATTCACTTGTTGATAGATGTGTATTTGTTGTTCATAGTTTGTATCTTTACCTTTTTCTTCTTCTTCCTCTTCTTAAAGGATACCTTTTAGCATTTCATACAATACTGGTTTGGTGGTGATGAACTCCTTTAGCTTTTTCTTATCTGTGAAGCTCTTTATCTGGCCTTCACTTCTGAATGATAGCTTTGCTGGATAAAGTAGTCTTGGTTGTAGGTTCTTGGTATTCATCACTTTGAATATTTCTTGCCACTCCCTTCTGGCCTGCAAAGTTTCTGTTGAGAAATCAGCTGACAGTTGTATGGGTACTCCCTTGTAGGTAACTGATTTTCTTTCTCTTGCTGCTTTTAGGATTCTCTCTTTGTCTTTTGCTCTTGGCATTTTAATTATGATGTGTCTTGGTGTGATCCTCTTTGGATTCCTTTTGTTTGGGGTTCTCTGTGCTTCCTGGACTTGTAAGTCTATTTCTTTCACCAGGTAGGAGAAGTTTTCTGTCATTATTTCTTCAAATAGGTTTTCAATATCTTGCTCTCTCTCATCTCCAGGCATCCCTATATTTGGATGTTGGTACGCTTGAAGCTATCCCAGAGGCTCCTTACACTATCTTCGTATTTTTGGATTCTTTTTTCATTTTGCTTTTCTGGTTGGGTGTTTTTTGCTTCTTCGTATTTCAAATCTTTGACTTGATTCTTGTGACCCTGTGGTCTGCTGTTGGGAGTCTGTATAATATTCTTTATTTCAGTCAGTGTATGCTTAATTTCTAGTTGGTTCTTCATCACAACATTGAGGGTCTCATTAGATTTCTTGAGGATCTCACTACATTTATTGGCGGTCTCACCAGTCTTCTTGAAGATCTCACTACATTTATCGGTGGTCTCACCAGTCTTTTCGAGGGCCTTATTAAGTTTATCGGCGGCTTCTAGACCAGGGGTGGGCAAACTTTTTGACTTGAGGGCCACAATGGGTTCTTAAACTGGACCGGAGGGCTGGAACAAAACCATGGATGGAGTGTTTGTGTGAACTAATATAAATTCAAAGTAAACATCATTACATAAAAGGGTACGGTCTTTTTTTTTTTTTAGTTTTATTCATTTCAAATGGGCCGGATCCGGCCCGCGGGCCGTAGTTTGCCCACGGCTGTTCTAGACAGTTCTTTAAAGACCTTAAAAGTGTGGTTTTGAACTCTTTATCCAACAGTTTGCTTTCCTCCAATTCTGTTGTTTGTGTCCTGTTTCTTTGTCTCGGCATTTTTTATGCTTCACTGTGTCGATAGAGTGCCTTTCTGTGCTAAGTGTCCCAATTACCTGAGGTAGACACTCTTGGTGCACCCCCTTGTGGGCTTTGTGCACAGTCTTGTTGTAGTTAAGCCTTGATTGTTGTAGTTATCACTGTGAGGAATTGACCTCCAGGCCAATTGGCTGTGAGAATCAGCTGTGTCTGCAGTGGGAGAGCTTCTGTGCTGGAGACACCCCTCTGGGGCTAGACTTGCTTCAATGGGGCTTTGGTGCTCACTGAGTCTGCCCCCTGAGTGTGTCTTTTATGGTTCCACGGAGCTGCAAACTGGATGGTCCCACTCTGACCTCTGGGCTTCCTGGCTCCTGGATCTCTAGTGAGGTGCTAATCTAGCCTTTGCCTGAGGCTATCCAGCAAAAGTCTCCCTGCAGGGCTTGGGCTGGGCGGGTCCCACGGGATCAACAGGGCGGGGTTAGCAATTATGGCTGCTCTCAGTCTTGCCCTCAGAGGCTCTGCTTCTCAGTGTCCCAGTAATCCCTGCAAGCCCCATGGAGAGAAAGCTGCCCTAGGGTTCTGAGTGATGCCAGACAGTCCCGCTTCTCCTGTTTGAGTCTGGGTCCCTAGAGACTCACCCGGAACTGGACCTCAGAGCCTGAGACTCCCTCCCGATTGAAAACGACAACCGCACCCTCAGCCGCCAGCCCGCTCCGCATGCACTCCTCACCTTAGTATTTTACTTCAGCACTGCGCCTCCTCTGAGTCTCGGTATGCTTTCTCTTTCCTCCTAATTGTAGAACTTCCACTCAGCCAGCCTTCCTGTGGTTCTGGATGATGTCCATTCCGTCTTTTAGTTGTATTTTTGAAGTGGTTGTTCGAGGCAGCAAACTCCTGTGTTTACCTATGCTGCCATCTTGGTTTTCCTCTGCTTTCTGATTTAGCTAAACTTTTTCCAGCCCAGTGACGCACCCCAACTTCTCTTTCAGGTAATTGTCAGCAACACAACAGTAAATATCAACACAAAGCAGATTATTATTGTAGATCACGCAGGGAGAACAAAGGGTAAAATATTTAACAATTTTGAGCAGTGAGAAAACCTGAAGTCATTTTCAAGGTCCACCATTTCTTACTTCTTTTCAGTTGGGTCAAGTTTCTAAGCTTTCTAAATCTGTTTTCCAGCTAATGAAAAGAAAATAGGATTCCACCGAGTCTCCTATCTACCTAACTGCAGGACTTCTGTGAGGATCAAATGAGATGAGGCACATGAAAACACTTCACAGACATTTGGTTACAGTGTGAAATGTTTCCATCTGGCTATAAAGCAAGTCATGTTTCTGGGATGAAGAAGCTGCAAGAAGGCTAGTTGCTAGGGAGAGGAAGCCAGGCATTGCTACATGACGTCATTACCCGGTGCCCACAGCCACCATTTCGGGGCTGGGCTGGGCTATGGGTTGCATTTTGCGCCTTGGCAGCATTGGCTGCGATTTGGTAGGCTGTCACTCCAGGGTGGTGGCGGGGGCCTGTGTCCCACTCGGAGGAAGCCAAGTGTTGCTTTGTCGGCACCAGGTCCGCACTGTCATTTCTCTGTAAATGGCCAGTGTGTGTCATGGCAACTCCTGCGTTGAGCGTCTGCCCCCTGGTGTTCAGTGCATGTCATAGTGACTGGTTGGATGGGATGAGGGACACTTAGCATATTAGCCTTTTATATCCTATCCAATAATAGACAAACATGGTAATTAACCATACCTCCAACACGCTTCCCATTGGCTAATCAGCGAGACATGCAAATTAATCGCCAGCCAAGATGGCGGCTAATTTGCATATGTCAGCACCATTGGCCCCGGGTAGTAGTAACCCTCTGCTGCCGCCGCCGCCAGGCTCTGCCCCTGGGAGCCGAGCCAGGCGGCGGGAGCAGAGAGCAAAGCCCTCCATGCCGCCGCGGAGCGACTGCTGGCCTGGGGCAGGAGCAGCGAGCAAAGGCTGGCATGGGGAGCGCGGAGAGCGAAGCCAGCGTGCCGGCTCCACCCCCGAAGCCCGCCGCAAGGGTCCCTACTGGCGAAGAGCAAAGGCCTGGGTTTCTGCCGCCGGAGGAAAACTGGTGCCAGCAACCAGGGGAAGGGGCCCCCAACTGCAAGAAGGCACAAGTTGGGCTGAGGCGGCTGCTTCCCTGACCCACACCCAGCTTCTGAGATGGGTGACGCCTATGTTTGCATGACACATAACTGACTGCCCACCCTGAAAGCACAGAAGAAGAAGAAGCCCCCAGAAGAAGAAGCCGCCCACCTTTGGTCTAGGCACCAGCGCCTGTGGCTTGCTGCAGCCCAGGAGATGGACAAGCTACCCGCCCAAGGTCCCAGGCTGCAGCCACCCGGAGAAGCTGCCAACCCTGTGGTCCAGGGTGCCAGCACCTGTGGCCGGGGGCAGAGCCGGCACGCTGGCTTCACTCTCTGTGCTCCCCATGCCAGCCTTCGCTCGCTGCTCCTGCCCCAGGCCTGCAGTCGCTCTGTGGCGGCATGGAGGGCTTTGCTCTACGCTCCCGCCGCCTGGCTCAGCTCCCAGGGGCGGAGCCTGGCGGCGGCAGCAGCAGAGGGTTGCTCCTACCCAGGGCCAATGGACTTTGCTCCATCGCTTGGTGCCGACTTATGCAAATTAGCCGCCATCTTGGCTGGCGATTAATTTGCATATCTCGCTGATTAGCCAATGGGAAGCGTGTTGGAGGTATGGCTAATTACCATGTTTGTCTATTATTAGATAGGATATAAAAGGCTAATATGCTAAGTGTCCCTCATCCCATCCAACCAGTCGCTATGACATGCACTGAGCACCAGGGGGCAGACGCTCCAACTACAGTCATTACTTCAATATTCCCCTTCTGAATTTCTCTCCTGTGCTGCAACCCAACTCCACTTTTCTTCGGAAGGATACAGAACAGAGAGAGCAGTGTTAAAAGCTTACATTTTTAAGCCAGTAAGGTTGGTACTTAAACATATAAATGGAAAACTAGAGTTCTCCTTAAGGTAACAAAGGCTACAAAGGACAGGGACAGTGCATGACCTATTATATCCAGCAATCCATATGGGGACTGAAAACTTTGCAGTGCTGACAATTACTGAAGATATGAATCAACTAAAATAGTTGACAGGGACAATTCTTCCATCTTTGAAAATATCTACATCAAATCTGTTTAAATAGATTTTCATCTGCGTAATATAACACATTCTGACAAGACTACCACCACCGCCACCAATGTGGTCAGTCAGTGTTGTGCGGATAAATGTTTAATAACTGAGGGACCCCCCCCCCCCGAGTGCACAAATTTTGTGCACCAGGCTACTAGTATGTAGACAATTGAACTTGTTATATATGTACCATGCATAGGCAACCCCTGCCATCTGTAAGCTGTAGCAAGCTCTAACCATGTTTGACCTTGTGACCCAAGTGGCAATTGTGGACAACTGATAACATATAAACAAAAATGGTGTCAAGAATTCCTTGTTGAGATGAACTATTAACGAAGAATATAGAATTAGTGTCCTTGTTTGCTCTAAGGACACCTTTTCTTATTGGATTTGCGAGCCAACAATACACAGGATTGGAAGAAATGTAATGTTTTTTATTAAAGTCCTCTCTTTTCTAGGGTGACAATGTGTTGATTAATACCTATAGTGGTGTTCTCAAGATCTCTGACTTCGGCACATCAAAGAGGCTTGCTGGCATAAACCCAAGCACTGAAACTTTTACTGGTATGTTTTTGCAATGATGATACAGATCTTATGTAATTAAAGAAATAATTGCTGCGTTTGAACATAATGTAAGATATAAATTTAGTTGTTCTCACAAAGATTAATGTTGATATCTTTTGATGATTACTGAAAAATGATATACAGAAGTTGACCTGACCCTTTTCTCATCTTATATTTATATGATCTATTCAATCTCCTTGCTTAATGCTACTGAAGATTTTTTTTTAACTCTTCATTTGTTTGTTTTTCTTTTCATGTCATTACTTCTCTCCTGTTTGGCCTACAATCAATATAATCCTGACAAGATTTTTTTAAAACATTTTTCAGCCTAACCTCTCTGTGATTCTTACTCATACCTTAATCACTTCCCATGTGGGCTATGAATTCCCTCTTTTCTAATCTGTTTACTCTCTGTGATGCATTCCCCTGCTCACAACATAAATAACTGCAGGATTTCAGTCCCTTTCAATCCTGAAAGAGGAAGTGACTCACCAACTCAGAAGTGGGGTGTGGAGAGAGCTTTCCTCAGAGGTTAGGCAATGCAACCACTGAGCTGCCTCTAGAGCAAAGTCCTGGGAGGGAGGAGACACAGGGTTCTAAAAAGGCAACAAGAGGAAACCGAGGCTCAGAGAGATTCATGACTGCCCAGCAGTCACCGGGAGGGCATCCGAAACTTCAGCCCTGCTCTCCATTCCAAGCTCTTAGCACTTCATTCTGCTATTTCTCAGGAAGTATGATTATTAGAGAAAGATGTGGGAGGGAAAAAAGATAATGAAGTAAGCAAAATGGCCAGATGTCCCCATTTCTTAGTTCTGTGAGGTAGGTGGTAGTAACTCCATTTTGCAGATGAGGAAATTGAGAGAAAAGGGACATCGAAATCACAACAGTTTATAAATGATAAGGTCAGATTTTTTTTTTTTTTTATCTACCCTTTGCTCTCTGCTTTGGTTTTCTTGCGTCAGTCAGTATTTCTCTCCACCTTGCTGAAGTATCTATTCTGGAAGCCTGGAAGGGGGAAAAGAGAGAAATTCCATATGCTTTCTCCTCAGAACACCCAATCAGCGACACCTCTGGCCTAGTTCCTACTCTCACAGCAATGGGAATTTCAGGGTAAAGAGTTAAACACATTTAGAATGCATTTTCTTTTCTTTTTTTTTCAAAATAGGTTCTAATTTATTAGTAATTTCAGATGTCTTTATGTTTCTTTTCTCATTCTGTATCAGTTTGGCAAGAGACATTTTAAATGCTTCTAAGACTCAGTAACTTCTGAGAGGAAAATCCCTACTTTCAGACACTTTATTTGGGCGAGATGTTACTTGAATATCTCCTGATAATCTTGAAAACATTTTTTGTTAGTTCTCGAAGGAGTTCTAGTAAAGTGGTCATCCAGGGCCCTGTGCTTGTACTTCTCTCAGTGGCCTCACGTGGAGACACGTATGATTAACGTGCTGAGTCTGTCTGCAGCGCTGGTCAGGGGGGCCTGGGTGTGCGGACCTGGATTCTCGGCCGTAGGCCTTGGAACTAACCACGTCCCCAGCGCTTAGTCAGCCTCTGATGAGCTGCGCTGAAAGACCTCGGTCCATTTCACTGCCTGGTCATGCGATGAGAGGGAAGGCAGCAGCGACCACCATCTATAGAGTGTATACCCAACTGTGCTAAGTGCTTTATATATGTTATTTCACTGAAATTCATATATCAGCCCTAATCCTTAGGTATCATTATCCCAGTTTAGGGTGAGAAAATGAAGGTTCAAAGAGGTTAAGTAGCTTGCCCAAGGTCACAAAGCTAGCCAGTCATAGAGCTATGCTTCAAACCAGACGTAACATGCCGAATGGAATTAACTTCTCCCCAGACCTGTTCCACCCACACTTTTCCCCATTGCAGTTAATGGCCACTCCAAACTTAGAATTATCCGTGGCGCTTCTCTTTTCTCACACTCCCACCCAATCCATCAGGGAAACCTATTGGCTCTACCTTCAGAGTGTGTCCAAAATTGGAACAGTTCCTCACTGCCTCCACTGCTACCACCCGCGTTTCTCACCTGCGTTACCTCAATAACCTCTTCTCCCTGCCTCCTCTCTTGCCCCCTATGTCCATTCTCAACCTCAGCCCTATCACTCAGAGACCGCAGTGGCTTGCTACTTCTTTCATAGCAAACAAACGCCAAAGCCCTTACAATGGTGGACAGTTTGGAATTCGTCACCTTTTAGACCTCATTTCCTCCTCTTCCCCCCTTGCTCACTCTGTCCCAGAAACTTAGGCCTTCCTGCCTTTCCTTCATCGCACTGTAGGGCCTTTGCACAAGCTTTTCCTGCTGCTACAACACTCTTCTCCCAGCCATCTGCATGGCGGAGTCCCTCTCCTCCTTCAGGTCTTACCTCAGATATCATCTCGGTGAGGCCCTCCCTATTTGCTTGGCAGCCCTCCCTGGGCACATCTGCTACCCTTTCCTTACTCTTGTTTTTTTTTGGGGGGGGGGTTGTCATAAATCATAACTTTCTAACGTACTATACAACTTACTTGTTTATTATGCTGTAGTTTATTGTCTGTCTCCCACGGCAAAAATGTCAGCTCCACAAGCACAGAGATCTCTGTCTGTTTACTCTGCAGCTATATTCTAAATGCCTGGAACAGTGCCCGGCCCACGGTAGGCCCTTAATCTGGAACTGCTGGACGTATGGTTGAATGGGCACAGTGTGATGTCAAAATTGAAGCTTGTAGCTACTAAGCTGTAGTAGCTTCCCAGACTGGCTTGCAGCTTCGTTACCCAGCTCTGTAAATCTCTTTATATAAAATATTAGGTGTCATGTGCTTGTGGAGTGAAGGGAACTGATATGAACACATGGCCAAACCTGTTTTTATTGCCACTTGCTCAATGAGGGATAATTAAACACAATTGGCAGGTAGCGCTCTTTGAAATATCTGATGAATAAAAACATTGCATAATTTATTATTAAGATATTCCTTGAATTGTCCAGTTCTTTTCAATTCATATACTGTTGCTCAGTTGTGATGCCTACTACAATATTAAAACAACTCAAATTCTCTCAGAAATTCTATTTTAGACCCAGAGACAACAGAAAGGAGCAGGAGGCTTCAACACATATTTTTTAAAGACCAGTTGATTTAATTTACATCATAAAACACGATCACTTTGGGGAAAGCTATAAGCGAAGATAAATCACAGTACTTTTCTCCTAAGCATAGGTGACTTGAGGAGTGTGGTTGCCTGATCCTTGGCCAGGTGAAATGCTTCCGTCCAGGAATTTTGCTGATTTAAGCTGAGAGCAGACATGTGCAGGTGTATGTGGACATGAACTTGAGCTACTGCTATGTAATGCTGAGATCTGGAGGATAAACCTGCCAAGATAACAATACTAAATTAATTGACAAAATTAATAGACTTTATTTATTTTTATGACAACAGCCAGCTTCTAGCTCATGACAGTAGCTTTCATAGGAACAACTTAGAGGAATGTTGCATAGCAGTTTTCACCTACAAATCATGCACAAGGCATTTGTAAAAGGTGGTGTCTGTATTTATCAAAATGTCTATCATTGGTTATGAATCAGAAAAGACTGAAGCAGCACTTTTGGCAAATGCCTCAAGATTTGAAATAATTCAAGATGGCATCGTGGAGGAGTTCCTATTTGCTGATTATACCATTTGTATGAATATATCAGAAGCAGGGGATGTGGCAATGATCTGTTTCTCTTCCCACTCTGTCCTCATTGCTCGACTTCGGGGAATCACTGCAGCAGGCGTTAGAAACACAAATCCAGCCTCTCACTTGAGCCAGTGATACAGCTGCAGTTGAGTGTTTATCAGAGACATACCAGACCACAACTAGAACCACGGGATCTTGGCTCCTCCACTTAATTCTCTTTCCATCATATTGCATTCTTAAACTCTCTGATTCTTTATATAAAATACCCTCTCTTTTTTTTTTTTCATTTTATTCTTCGCTCTGTACCTGGTGATTTGTCTGTACTGATGGCTCATGGCCTGTCTTTGACCTGTTAAACCCATTATTCCATGGACCACAGGCACATAGCAGAAGTCGTAAATATTTGATTTATAGATTTACATTATTTTTGACAATACCTTTTAGAATCTGCATGCTTGAATGATTTAGAAATAAGAATAAAAACAGAAGAACTAAGCATTCAAATCAGAAATTGAGAAATATAAATCTAAGGAAATTGATGAATGACCTAGACTTTTCTTGGAAAAGATTGGAAGTATTCATAATGAGAGTTTTCATGTGCTTCAAAAACTGATTTTAGAAAATGTGTGTTGGTGTATTCTCTGTTGTTCTCAAATGACCAGTTGTTAGAAGTTTCTAAGAGGTCCTGATGAAATAATGCCTTAATTATACTATTTAAGAAATGAGAACGTATCTGTTCATATCCAGGTAATACTGGTAAACTATTTTCACCTCGCTAATAAAATCCATTATAAAAACTGCTATTTTCTCTTATATTCATAGCAGAGAAAAACTGGAATTCAAAAAGGATGCAGTATTAAGACCTGAATCATACTTTTAAAGTGTCTTATTTATGTAGAAGAATTGAAACTGTCATTAGATGTTCTCTTTTGAAGTAGGATTGTGTTTGTACTCTTCCCAGGCACCCTTCAGTACATGGCACCAGAAATAATAGACAAAGGACCCAGAGGCTATGGGAAAGCAGCAGACATTTGGTCTTTGGGTTGCACCATCATCGAAATGGCCACAGGGAAACCGCCCTTTCATGAACTGGGAGAACCACAAGCAGCAATGTTCAAGGTCACATTTTGTATACCTTAAATATCTTCAAAACCAATGGGTAAAACTGCTGGCTGTTCCATGTGTGCATGCCATCTGCTTTTAGCCAGAAGGCAAGGAGCGTAAGTGAGCACCGTCTGAGAGCATACTATAGTTCAAGATGATTCACTCCCCTCAGTCGGTGCCTCATAAGAGGCTCTCCCCACCTTAGTTTTCTCAGCTACAAAGTGACACGCAGTGTACCTTCCATTGACCACATTTTCACAGTGCAGTGTAAAGAACACACCACTCCATGGAAGATGGTGTAAGCTCTTTGGGAAACACAGGTTAAAAAGCTTCCATGGAGGAAGATATAAGAACATTTTTTATCTATGTAAATATTAAACCAAATAAATGTTTTCCTTTACTTTATTATAAGAGTTTAACATCTCCATTTTAAAAAGGCATGGTTTTGCTATTTTAAGTACACATCTTATTCTCATACTAGAGGCCCGGTGCATGAAATTTGTGCATGGGAGTGGCGGGGGGGGGGGGTCCCTCAGCCAAGCCTGCACTCTCTCGTAATCCAGGACCCCTCAGGGGATGTACAACTGCTGGTTTAGGCCCACGGGATCAGGCCTAAACAGTCAGTCAGACATCCCTCTCGCAATACAGGACTGATGGCTCCTAACCACTCACCTGCCTGCCTGATCGCCTCTAACCACTCTGCCTGCCTGCCTGATAACCCCTAATCACTCTGCCTGCCTGCCTGCCTGCCTGACCACCCATAACTGCCTTTGCCTCAGCCCTGCTGCCACAGCTTCGTCTGGAAGGTCATTCGGCTGTCCAGTCTAATTAGCATATTATGCTTTTATTATTATAGACTAGAGGCCTGATGCATGAAATTCATGCAAGAGTAGGACTTCCTTCCCCTGGCTGCCAGCACCGGCTTCCCTCTGGCACCTGGGACCTGGGCTTCCCTCCAGCTGCCAGGACCTGGGCTTCTCTCACAGAGGGAGGCTCTACCCACCCACCACAGTCTGCTGTCCAGTGGCCTGGGCCTCCCTCTGTGGGGCGATCTTGGGGCAATGGCCGGGCCCCTGACTAATTGCATCACACCCACCTTGGCTGGCCTGGCGCCAATGGGTGTCATAACGTGGTCCTGGATGGTCATTTTGCTCTTTGGCCATTTGGTTGATTTGCATATTATGCTTTTATTATATAGGATATTACTCTTCTAGCCTCTTAATTTGCCCATTAGTAACTCCTTTGGGAGTGGGAAGCAGCTCAAATAGGGAGCATCTGATATCAAAATAGAGCTGAGAGAGCCCTAGGCTACAGCTTCCAAATCTCGAGACTGGGCAAAGCAGTGACCTATGGCTGAGTCCCTGAAGTTCTCACCTGCTACACCACCACGCCAGAGTGAAGTTTAAACTGAGAACTTGGCCTGGCCGGCATGGCTCAGTGGTTGAGTGTCGACCTATGAACCAGGAGGTCAGGGTTCAATTCCCTGTCAGGGTACATGCTGGGTTTTGGGCTCGATCCCCAATAGGGGGTATGCAGCAGGCAGCTGATCAATGATTCTCTCTCATCATCGATGTTTCTCTCTCTCTCCCTCTTCCTTCTTCTCTAAAATCAATAAAAATATATTTTAAAAAACAAAAATTAAAAATAAAATAAACTGAGAACTTGTTTCCTGAGATGGAAAGCTCACATTCTTCTGTTCTCTAAGGCAGAAGGCTTTTGATAACTTATTTTTTCCCCTGCCTCTGACCATGTCTCTAGCACTTTTTCCATTGGTGAAGAGCCTCTCAGGAGAGGCCCTGTGTTACATACCTTTGCTTCTGTACAAAGCTTGGTGTATTTTGAGCTTGAAGATGATGTGATGGGATACTGCTGACACAGAAATGAGTAGTGTAACCAAGCCTGAAGAGTGATGAGAGCTACTACCTTTTTTGACATGAATGAATGTCTTTCTCTTCTTGGCCAATCTCTGAAGTTTTTACCAATGTTTAGGACTTCACTCTGAAATGCTGCTGTTACCGTCAGTGCAGCGATCATAATACAATGTGCTTTAGACGAGATAGCGTAGACTCTGGCACTGATTTACAGTGTTTGAATCCAGGCTCCAACACAGTCAAGCTAGTTGATGACTTTGAGAAAATTACTTAACCTTCTTGTACCTCAGCTTCCGCATCTCTAAGTTGGGAATGAATTTAGTACCTATCTAGTAGAGGTTTTTTGAGGAGTATATGAGATAATATTTGCAAAGCACTTAGAATAGTAAAGGCTATATAAATATAACAAACAATTACATATTACCTATGTAATAATACACTTATATAAACTATATAACATAAAAGATTTCCTTAGAAAATTTTCTCTACTAAATACATGAAAACATTAAAAAACATTTTTTAGAATGGCAGCAATGAAAAGAAAGTTGAATTGCTATAAAAATTCTATTTTATTTAAAGTGTTTTTAAATATCTTTTAATGTAGGCGGTTTGAGACGGGGGAAATATTCATAAATTATGGAGTAGAGGAAAGAACACAAATTTTAAGCATTAAAGGTTCAAATCCCAGATTTGCCTTTTTATAACCATATAACCTGACCCCTCTGAGCCTCATTTTCCTCATTGGTGCAACAAGTATAATAATATTCAATCCACTGGGTTGTTGGGAGGATTCATGAGATTCATTGAATGAAAACGGAAAAAGCCAAGCACAGTGCCTGGCACATCACTATCATGACCAGCACAAGGGTCCAATTAAAAACATCCTTTCTTCTTGCTGGTGTGCGAATGTGCCCTCAAGCCTTGAGGACTGAATTGCTACTTTATAGTGCGGTTTAGTCTCTTATGCTAATCACTCTGCCTATGTCATTGATAAAGTTGCAAAAGCACTCTGGAAACTTTCTGTAGCCTACATAAAAAGTATCCTATCTCCCTTTGAGAAAATCCATGAGTTCGTAGTATATGATAAAGGATTTTGTTACAGTAGGAGACCAAGTTATGATGCCAGGAGCTTATGGGATGAGATGTCACTCAGAAGCCCCATTGTGCTGTTTCTTAGGTGGGAATGTTTAAAGTCCACCCGGAGATCCCGGAGTCCATGTCAGCGGAGGCCAAGGCATTCATATTGAAGTGTTTTGAACCAGACCCTGACAAGAGAGCCTGTGCTAACGACTTGCTTATTGATGAGTTCTTAAAAGTTTCAAGCAAAAAGAAAAAGACACAGCCTAAGCTTTCAGGTATGTGGTTGCATTGAAGGAGATGTAGTTCAGAGTCCCTAAATACTAAGCTTTTAAGATGGACGATTTTTCCAGAAGCAAGCTAATCTGTCTGTAGATGTCACTGGAAATTGCTGTGAACACTGGCAGTGTTCTCAGGCATCCAGTTTCAGTATCGGGAAGCTGTGTTACCATCAAACCTCACAAACGCCAGGACCTCGTGCATAATAGTGTTTCATCATTCGGTTAGTAGGTATTTTTACTGTGTCAATATCTACAGCATTCTAGCATTGCTGATCCAAAGGTTAAAGTGGAAAAAGGGTGAAATACAGCCTTTTAGAGCTGAAACTCCAAATTACAACTAATGGGTTACAGGGCTATTATAGAGCTGAACTGTTGAATTTTCAATCTTTCTAGATAATATGTTATTTTCATTTTAGACAGTAGAAAATACTTATTGCTTCTTAGAGAATATCTTTCTGAGTAATTAACCCCCCCCCCCCAAAAGAAGCATTGCCAGTTGTAAGTAAAACAGCAGTGTAAAAATGTTAATTGCATTTTTGCAAGGATTTCCATAACTCATTTCTGAGAGAAAAAAACAAGTAAATAATCTATTTGTTGTTGGTGTTTTGGTGTTTCTATGGGGTGAGGGTGGGCAGCTTGAAAGCTTGGAAAGGGCATTGCTTCCCACATCAAGTCCTCACTTTTTGTTGGCTCCTCAGTTTAACAGCAACCCCAATGTGCGTTTATGTTGTTCTTTGCTTTTCTTCCCGCAGCTCTTTCACCTGGATCAAATGGTGAGTCTATTGTTATATTTTCCATTGAGCTGAAGCTGGTTGGGTCATGTGATCAGCTCCCCAAATAGACTCCTCCTCCTCTCCCTGCTTTCAGAGGCGGCTGCTGGTAGGAGGGGTGTGTGCAGCTGCAAGCCCGGCGGGGCTCACTCTGTCAGAACCCCTCACCTTTCTCTTCATGAGGGAAGCTTCAGTTGTTCCTCCCTAAATGCATGAGGGTGTTTATATTTTTGAAATCTTCAATTTGAGTGGAGTCCACACTTTCTTAGCTTGGAGCAAGTCGGCCACAGAATCATAGTATCTGAGAACTGGGAAAGAGATCATCTAGTCCCGTGGTCGGCAAACTGCGGCTTGTGAGCCACACGCGGCTCTTTGGCCCCTTGAGTGTGGCTCTTCCTAAGCCTTAGGAGTACCCTAATTAAGTGAATAACAATGCACCTACCGCCAAAACCGGTTTGGCTCAGTGGATAGAGCGTCGGCCTGTGGACTGAAGGGTCCCAGGTTCGATTCCGGTCAAGGGCATGTACCTGGGTTGCGGGCATATCCCCAGTAGGAGATGTGCAGGAGGCAGCTGATCGATGTTTCTCTCTCATCGATGTTTCTGACTCTCTATCTCTCTCCCTTCCTCTCTGTAAAAAATCAATAAAATATATTTATAAAAAATAAAAAAAACAATGCACCTACCTATATAGTTTAAGTTTAAAAAATTTGGCTCTCAAAAGAAATTTCAATCGTTGTACTGTTGATATTTGGCTCTGTTGACTAATGAGTTTGCCGACCACTGATCTAGTCCATTGGTTTTTGAAATTTGTGTTTAGCAGTGAACCCTTTTTTACCTGAATCCTCAGGCAGAGCCCTGATGTATAAGGCTCACAGAGCATATTTGTTTTAGGTAAGACAGGGTTGGAACCTGTGTTCTAGAATCACAGAATCCTACTTACTCACCCCATCCAAGGCAGCGCCAAGGTGCTAAGGTGGACCCTTACACCTCTGCGGAACATGGTTTAAAACTTAGGGATCTTGTCCTTTACTCTATAGAGTAAACAGACCTAAAAATGACCTTCCTGAAATCTGACAAGTGGACAATAAAAACAGAGGGATTGGAACCCAAGGCGTGCTGGGTCTGATGCTTCCTCCAGTTTCATGCTCCTGAGATCTTCCTGACAGGGCCCATGAGGCCGCTTCCTCACCAGCCCCTCCTGCGGGGGTCATCTGTTGAGCCTGGGAGCAATCCGAATATCATGACCAGACTCTTAGGTTGGAATGAGACCCTTCACAGCTAAGATTGCTCTCGTTCAGTAGACATTGCAGCATGCGTACATTTTTCCCAGCATTAATTCTCTTTCCCCTCCTACAAGCAGAATACCTTAGGAGCATATCCTTGCCAGTCCCCGTCCTGGTGGAGGACACAAGCAGCAGCAGTGAGTACGGCTCAGTTTCTCCCGACACGGAGCTCAAGGTGGACCCCTTCTCTTTCAAAACAAGAGCCAAATCCTGCGGAGAAAAGGATGTGAAAGGAATGCGGACCCTCTTTTTGGGGTAAAGGCCTGACTTATTTCGGGGGAAGGAAGTGTGTGGTGTATCACCTTATAAAGGAGAGTGTGATTTGTGCTGTGTGGATTATTGCAGCATTCCAGATGAGAATTTTGAAGATCACAGTGCTCCCCCTTCTCCCGACGAAAAGGACTCCGGGTTCTTTATGCTGCGGAAGGACAGCGAGAGGCGGGCCACCCTTTACCGGATCCTGAAGGAAGACCAAGACAAAGTTGTGAGAAACTTAATGGAATCTTTGGCTCAGGTAAAACCTTTCATGGACGCTTCATGTTTTCAGAGTTTACATATTTTAACTGTCAAAACCAGTGGGCCGACTGGTGTGGCTCAGTGGTTGAGTGTCGACCTATGAACCAGGAGGTCACAGTTCGATTCCTGGTCAGGGCACATGCCCAGGTTGTCGTCTTGATCCTTTGTAGGGGGCATGTAGGAGGCAGCCAATCAATTATTCTCTCTCACCATTGATGTTTCTATTTCTCTTACTCTAAGGCAAATGCAAAGTCTGGTCTAAGGCAAATGCAAAGTTTTCCTGTTGGTGAAGCTCCCACTAGTCCCTACCAGCCTCTTTTACCCTTCATTTATTCATATATTCAACCAATCAATGCACACACATTGAGCAACGTGAATTGCTCATTCTGACTGTAGCTCACAACTGCCTCTCAGTCACTCCTCTGAGCATGGAGGAAACATTGCAGATGCAGCAGAGGCCCGTGGTGGAGGGGCTGCGTTCAGATGGCAGGCGATGGGCAATAATCAGTAAATTACATAGTGGGCGAGGGGCCGCTGTGCTATGAAAAAACAAATCTGGCCAGTCCAACTCTGGTTCCCTCATGTATTTCTTCGCTGGGGTTGCCATAACAGATACCATAGACTGCGCAGCTTAAACGCCAGGAAATTATTTCTCACGGTTCTGGAGGCTGGACGTCTCAGAACAAGGTGTCTCCAGGTTTGGTTTCTCCCGAGGCCGCTCTCCTTGGCCTGCAGGTGGCGCCTTCTCGCTGTGTCCTCATTGGCCTTTTCTCTGTGCACTCCTGGTGTGTCTTCCTCTCCTTATAAAAACATGAATCCAACTGGGGTAGGGTCCCACCCTTGTGATCTCATTTAACCTTAATTACCTCCTAAATCCTATCTCCAAACACAAAGGCTAGGGCTTCAGCATACGAATTCGGGCAGGGAAGGACACAGTTCAGTCCATGACAACTGGGACTTTGTTCCCTGGGATTCTGCGTACAGATATGAGTAGGAACCCCAGGCCTGCTCTGTCTTCTGTGGCTACAACCTGTCCTGCCCGATCTGTGTGGACTGCATGTACCTTCTTCCCTCCCATCTGCCCTGGGAAAAAGCTGCAAAAAGCATGGAGGAGGAAGAGTTGGTCAAGTGTTTAGTTTCTCAGTCTAACAATTTACATTGTTCTCAGTTTGGATTGGGGTGTATGTGGAGCCAGGTGCCCACAAGTGCTCTTCCTTCCTCTCTCTCTCTCTCTCTCTCTCTCTCTCTCTCTCTCTCTCTCTCCCAATAAAAACATATCCTCAAGTAAGGATTAAATAAAAAAGAGTAAATATGTATTTAAATATATTGGGTGGGCAAAAGTAAGTTTACAGTTGCTCATATGGAAAATAGAGTAATACAATAATTAATAAATAATACAAGAATAAACTGTTTTGAATACTCACAACTGTAAACCTACTTTTGCCTCACCCTGTATAGTAGCATATGTAATTAAATATATAGTTATAATGTGTAATAATAATAAATATTGTAAATATAAGAAATTTTAAACATATAGTAATAGCAAGCAATTTCTATGAGCCAGCTATCGTTCTTGGTATTTCATAGGTATTTGCTCATTTAATCCCCATGAGAATAGTGCTATATAAATAGTTCTGTTAGCATCCTCACTTTGCACAGAGGAGGTGAGTACACTTGCCTAGGCCATGCAGGCCTAAGTGACAGAGCCAGGCAGTCTGGCTCCCAGGTCTGTGCTCTTAACCACCACACTGCTCTCCTTCCTGGGATGACAGATGGTGACAAGTGATGGAAGAAACGTAAAGCAGGGGAGGGGGTGGCATTTGGGGTGAGGGGACAGGGAAAATCATTGTGGAGTGAAGGCTCTCCTATGGCCATTAGTGAAGATACCTGTTTTAGGCCAGAAACACAGAACTCAGGGATTGTTTAAATCTCATGTTCATCCCCAAAGGGTGTGTTATTCCAGTACAGAAAATGTCTGGTTTTTTGGTGTTTTTCTTTGTCTCTCCACTGGATCATGGGTCCATCGGGGCAGAGACAACCTTGATCACTGTCATTGTCCCACCTCTCAGCACAGAGCCTAGCAAGAAACTCCACTTCCATGACTTTGCTGAAATTCTTAAATTTTTATGTTGGTTAATCCTCTCAAATGTTTTGTGATTTCCTAGTTTTTTAAGCACACTTGAATGTTCTCTATAAAAAGACACATGAAAGTCAACCTTATTAAAAGAAGCCATCAGAGGGCATGCCTTGGTGCACCAATAGGAGGGACCAGTGAGGACCAGAAACTGCTGGTCAGAATCACATGCTAAATCCAGAATCAAGTAATAGTGAGGGTCCTGCTGATTGTACTGCTGAGGCGACTGTGAATCCTTTCCTGTGATTCCACCTGATGGTCTAGTGGCAGAGCAGGTCCTGACCCAGCTAATTGGGCAGAAGAATGTAACGATTGAGAGCGTGGGCTCAGCCACAACTTACCTCAGAACTAGTTCCACCATTTAAAGGCTGTGTGATTTAGGCAAGTTATTTAACTTCTCTGAGGCTGAATTTCCTCACCTATAAAAGAGGAAATGCTATAAAGAATAACTAAGCCCTGGCCAGTTTTGCTCAGTGGATAGAGCGACGGCCTGTGGACTGAAGGGTCTCGGGTTCGATTTTGGTCAGGGGCATATGCCTGGGGTGCAGGAGGCAGCCGATTCTCTCTCATCATTGATGTTTCTATCTCTCCCCCTCTCCCTTCCTCTCTGAAATCAATAAAAATGTATTAACAACAACAAAAATGAATAACTAAGATCATGAGCAATTGAGATAATAGGAAATGTTCCACAGATGTTAGCTATTATTATTGTTATCATCAAACAGGCTAATAACAATATTTAATATCTTTCAGTGTTTTTCTACAACCAGATAGAAACAATTCTTTCCATTGTATTACATATTTCTAGGTACATCTTTACATTTAAGCCTACCCTTTATAACAAGACTGAAATGTAGATGGCGGTCAGGTCCTCAAATCAGCCCACGAAAGGCCTTTCAATCTGTAGCATCTTCTGAAATCCACTCATCGTTTTTAAGGCAGTTTAAAGGATAAAGAATAGAGAGCACCTTTGCAAAAGATTCTGTGATGATACCAGGAATGCTTAGAAAAAGGCACCCTGTCAGATGCTACCTTCTGATGGCGAATCAGGTGTTACCCGATAACTAAGATGCTCATTCGTGAAGGCACAGTAGTGACTGCACACAGGGACAGGAGTTAAAACAGAAACAACGATTGTGTAAGTGGCTGAAATACGCTAGAGAGACTACATTTCCTGAAGTAGACAGCGTTCCCTTGTAGGACAGTGGCACTCACATCCAAAGCCCAGAAGCAACATGTTTTTCTGTTGTGAAAACAATGCTAATGTCAAAAAAATGTTTGCTATTTAAACTGGTGCCAAACATTAACTGATTTTTCACTAAGCTAAGCTTCCAATTCCTGAATAAGTCACATTTTTCTTCTTGAACATGTTTTCATGTTATTATGATATTTCCTGTGAATGTTTACTTTGGGTGTAATTTAGCTCGTGGTAAGAAAATAAACAGTTTATAATTGTTCCCAGTCTCATTTTAAAATATTACCTTAATGACAGCCTTCAGGATTTTCAATATAATCTTTTCTCATGCAAACATCAATATGAGAGTGAGCTTCCAGATGAGAATGTACTGAGAGGAAGAGCTTCCATTTTCATAGAACCCTAGATATTGTGATTTTTCACAATCCAGTTGAGGCATTTAATTTTGATGATTTAGTAACAAAATGTATAATGTGAGATAGACATGAGCATTATAAAAAATCCTGTTTATTTTTTTAAAAAAACATTTTTATTAATTTTAGAGAGGAAGGGACAGGGAGAGAGAGAGAGAGAAACATCAATGATGAGAGAGAATCACTGATTGGCTGCCTCCTGCACATCCCCCACTGGGGATCAAGCCCACAACTCAGGCATGTGCCCCTGACTGGAATCAAACCCAGGACCCTTCAGTCCACAGGTTGACACTCCATCCACTGAGCCATATTGGCAGGGCAATCCTGTTGTTTCTTAAAGTAAAAAGAGAATAAATAACATCCTACTATGTTACCTTTAAGGAAGCAATGTTGCTTGAGCAAGTAAAAAGAAATTCAGCTTGAGAGAGGGAATTTTTAGAATTGTATTTTATTTTTAACATATAAAATATTCTGTTGGTCAATTCCTATAAGTAATTGCTTTTTTGATGGGTAGGAATTGTTTCAAGGACAGAGTTTGAAGCCAGCCCTTTTCAGTTGCAAGGAACTGACATGGTTCAAGGGCAATTGAAGTACTGGGGACATGTAGATAGATACATAGCAATGAGAGAAGGGGCCTCTGAAGGAGTCCAACCATAGTGCCCAGCCAAGCCTAGAGTGTGAGTCCAAGGGACTTCAAGTTCCAGGAGTTTGTACATCTTTTCCTGGCTCGGTGGCTATGGGCCCTTTGATGTGCCATTTCTGTTTGTGTCCACTTCTCTCCCTATCCATTGCTCCGGCTTCCTTCCTTATGACTAGATGTACTCTTGCCCCTGTTTTATGACTTCTCTCTCTGGACAGACTTTGAGCTTGGGGTCCTATGGCTTATTGCTTGAATCTCTCCTTAGGTCCTGATTAAAATTTCTGAGAGTAAGAGTCTTACTGCCTCTGCCTGTCCCTGGTTGGGCAAAGCTTTGTGTATCTGACTGTATCAAGGCTATTGGCTAACGTATGGAGTAGGTACCCTTCTTCCCAAAGCCTGATTATTTCTTGGAAAGGACAGGAGGAGGGGAAGGAGCCATATTGTTCAAATATGGTCTTTTTTCCTTAGACAGACCATTTGGCAGTCCAGTCCTTCCCAGCAGGGGCTGTGAGCATGGCAGGCCCACGTTCCTAAGCCCACTGACCGACTGACAAGTTAACTGGCTTTTATTCACAGGGGCCTGAAGAACCTAAACTAAAGTGGGAGCACATCACAACCCTCATCACAAGCCTCAGAGAATTTGTGAGATCCACCGACCGAAAAATCATAGCCACCACCCTGTCAAAGCTGAAGTTAGAGCTGGACTTCGACAGCCACGGCATCAGTCAGGTCCAGGTGGTGCTCTTCAGCTTTCAAGATGCTGTAAGTATGAAATTCTGCCAATGTTTTTCCACAAACTCTGGCTAAAATTAGTCAGAAAAATAGGATGAAACTTAAGTTCTCTTGCCTTTCTTTCTTTAATGATTTCAATGAATTCCCTTCTCTTTGGATAAGTGTGAGATGGTTGCCCTTTTGCGTGCTGTGTGAGATTTGTGTTTTCTATGTTTGCATCCCCCAGAGTTAAATATACATAAAAGTGTACACCATGTAAAATAGCAAAACTCATAAACATCTCCATGGCTCAACTTTGTTCTTATGAAATCATGTGGTGGGTCACTATTTCGGTGACTTGAGCAACAGAACACACTTGAGTCATGCATGCTCTCATTCCGTAGGAGAGGTGCCATCTAGTGGACATTGAGAAAATGACCGTACAGATTGGAATGACTATTACTGAATAAAACCAATAATCCTCCACCCCACCCTCCACCTCAGTTACTAGTAAACATGTTTGTTTAATAAATATTCACTTTTTTTTCTAGCCAGCAATATACTTCAGAGCCCAGGGCATCACTGAAGGAAAATTAATACACATGATCTAATGAGACATTGCTGAGGATTCCTCGCTCTCAAACAGTTGCTATGCAACACAAGCTAGTCCATCTTCCAAAAGCCTGATTCAAAACCATATGCTATTCTTGAATGAGACTTATCTGTGGAGCTCTGTACCAAAAAAGCCTGACGCTATTCCTAAAAGGCCCTTACAGGGTACAGACTTAAATAAGAGAGTTCTTGACACTGTCTGTGGTATGAATATAGAAGTACTTTGCATAATTTTATTTAAGTTCAAAAAATTAATTCACCCCTAATGTATTTATTGCTCTTATGTAGAAACTCAAGGCCCAATGCACAAAATTCATGCAAGAGTAGGCCTTCCTTCCCCCGGCTGCTGGCACTGGCTTCCCTCTGGCACCCGGGACCCAGGCTTCCCTTGCAGCCCCAGCTTCGTCTGGAAGGTCGTCCAGAAGGATGTCCGGAAGGATGTCTGGTCTAATTAGCATATTATGCTTTTATTATTATAGATTATCTTGACAATTATAATTGGAGCATCAAATGATTCCTGATTTAAAACCAAATTATAATCCTTCAGCATCCACTGATATTCTCTGAGACTGTGTAAACCACCTCATCTTTGGGCTATATTGTGGGTGGGGACAAGACTCCTGACATGATTGAGGTCATGAAAGCAATTGGCAAAGCCTAACATTAACATTCAGTGTTAAAGGCACACTTACACTGCAAGTAGGGAAACCCAACCATCTGGGAATAGAATAAAAAAATTCAGTGAATTTGCACTTGCCCACACATTTGGCTTTCAGCCTGGAGGATGAAAAGCAAATTGGCTTGTAGAATTCAGATTGAGAGTGCTTTAGTTCTCTCTCTCTCTCTCTCTCTCTCTCTCTCTCTCTCTCTCTCTCTCTCACACACACACACACACACACACACACACACACACACACACACACCACCCTGTTCACTCATTGTCCAGAATGGGAATAACCTGGAGAATGGGCCCTGTGTAATGTACTGTTTAATGAAAAACTAGGAGGAGCAAGTCATGGTCATAGGGGCTCTCTCTTCCATCTTCTGTGTGTGACTCTTGGGAGAAATATTCTAGTTTACCAGGTGTTGTGCCCAATGCTAAATCAAAAAAGCAGGAAACTCCTTTAAGAAATGAAGGTGGTGGGACAGACTCATTTTGATAGGATTTGCTAGAGCAAGTGAGAACCAAGCCCTGACTCATTTTCTTGCGAGTAACTACTGTGAGGAACTCCTCCAACCCACTCCCCTCTAACTGAGAGGTTTTGATGAAGATGGAGCAAGGGAAAGAATAAGCAACTGGAACTCCAGCTTTTATAAAGTGCAGGATTGCAGCGAGGTCACCTCCCCAGCTGCCTCGAAGATCTCTAGTCAGAGACTTGTTAGAAAAGTAGCCTCTTTTCTTAGAGGACACTGTCAGCCAATAATTAGTAGAGTTAATCCACATTTTAAATAAGCGATAAAGGTTATTTTAAAAAGGTAATGCATATGGTTTAAGCATACAGTGGAATATTGTTTACCCTTAAAAAGGAAGTTCTCACATATTACACTAAGTGAAATAAGCCAGTCACAAAAATACTGTATGATTCCACTTACATGAGTTACCTAGAGTAGTTATATTCATGGAGACAAGAAGTACAGTGGCGGCTGCCAGGGGCTGTGAGGAGAGGGCAGTATGGTGTCATTGTTAATAGGTACAGAGTTTCCATTTTGCAAGATGAAAAGAGTTCTGGAGATGAACAGTAGTAATGGTAACACAACCGTGTCAGTATCCTTAATGCCATTGAACCAAACACTTAGAAATGGTTAAGATGGTAAATTTTATGTTATGTTTATCTTACATAATTTTTTAAAAGAAAGGTAATGTTTGTATCTATTTCAGTGTCTATTCAAATGTGTGAGCCCGACTGGCGTGGCTCAGTGGTTGAGCATCGACCTATGCACGAGGAGGTCAAGGTTCGATTCTCGATCAGGGCATGTGCTTGAGCAGCGGCCTCTATTCCCAGTAGGAGGCGTGCAGGAGGCAGCCAATCAATGATTCTCTCTCGTCATTGATGCTTCTATCTCCTGCTCCCTTCCTCTCTGAAATCAATAAAAATATATTTTAAAAAAATAAAGAAATGTGTGAAATGTTACTTACTCGGTTTAAAAAGGTGCCCTCACAACAGAGAGCTTTAATGTGAACAGCTTTTCTGGAGTGCTGTAACAGGTTGTTCCCATTTGCAGAAGTGTAAAGAACTGTGGGAAGGAAACCAAGGCACGCACTGTGGCAAATAGGCAGGTAGCACATACACGCTCATGTCTCCCCTTCACCTGCTTTTTCAGGGCACCAGAGCGTGGCGAAGCACTTGGGAGTATTAAACAGCAGGATCATAACATTTAAGAAAAGTGCTCATTTTTAAAAAGCCCCTCAGACTCTTTTCCCCCTAATCTCCTCCAACATCCATCTGCAGACGTCATGAAAGGTGGAGACTGCACGTTCTCTGTTCTAACAGAGCACCCTTCTCGTTTAACCAGACTGCCTTTCATTTAAATAATGTATCTCATTTGCTTACATGGGGTTCACTGAACTTTAAATGGAAGTGGCAGTTTTTCATGTGACATAAATTATTCACAACTCAAGGTGAAGAGTCCTTTTTGTTATTTCGTTGATAAATCCAGATGCTTGCATCAGCTAGGTTATTTGCAATTAAAAGTTAATCAAAATGTCACTCTCTTTCTCCAGGTGAATAAAGTTCTTCGGAATCATAACATCAAGCCACACTGGATGTTTGCCCTGGACAGTATCATCCGGAAGGCAGTGCAGACAGCCATTACCATTCTGGTTCCAGGTCAGAAATACTTAATTACTCTGTAAATATTTGGTGTTTGATGTTTTATATTACTGTTCATTTATCATTTATGGTGTCTCCTTCCTGCGTTTAAGACCAGGCTAACCAGGTTAGCCTTCTTTTTTATTAATCTTCTCAGTCAGCAAATGTCATTTATTTAGGGCATACAGTCTGAGCCATGGTCCAGCAGGCAGAGTGTTTACTGCGAGTGAGGAAGACTTGCTGCCTTGTCTTTAAAGAGCATGTTTGGATATGAAGAGAAAGAAAACTATACAAGTGACCCAAATACATGTGCATTTCAATATGCAGGTATCTGTGCTCAGAAAACACATAAACACATTCCTGCGTCATCTTTACCAGGTTCCCAAACCTGCCGTTGCCTTGAGTGATACAAAGAGTCCTTTGGGATTACAGCTTTCAGGGCTCCTCCCAGGCTGAGTTGAGACTCTCCTGGAGAGAAAGCCCAGCAGTCTGATTGTAATCCAATTCCCAGGTCATTTGGGCACGCAGCCAGGTTTGGAAAGTGCTGGTCTATGTTTGCAGTGAGATATGAAAGGGCCAATGTTGAGTGAGGTGTGTGTTCACACTCTAAGGCAAACTTCCAAAGGGTTTTGATAGTCTACGCAATAATAAAAGATTTCAAGCAAAGCTCTTTCCCTGTGTGAGTGTGTGTGTGTGTGTGTGTGTGTGTGTGTGTGCGCGCGCATAGATAGATTTTAGATACGTAAATTGGAAGCATGTTCTATTGTACATTTATTTTAAAACATTCTAAAGTAGAAATTTTAAAAGGTAAATATAAACTATTTTAAAGTTTAGGTTATTTGTAAATGGTTCTGTGAAGTTTTAAGTCACCATTCATACTTCCAAGTTGTAGAAGTTCCTCTCTTCTCTCAGAATGCCTATTTGACTTGAGAGTAAGGGCACCAGTGTCGATCTTTATATTAAACATTAGTAAACATTAATTTCTTTCTTTCTTATGTAAGAAATGTCCCTCATACCTTGGCATCCTTGCACCTTTGCATTCTCCAGGTCTCAGACTCCTGACCTACCACAAAGTCTAGATTAGGCTCTTTGTATTCTCTCTCCTTGGAAATGTTTTTTCCCCATTTGTGACATTTGCCACAATCAGAAGCTACTTTTATTTTCTTGTCTATTGGGTGATTCCCTCACCAGAGAGCAACAGTATCTATTTTATTCTATTCTGTGCTGAGCATATTGTCTAGCACAGTGCCTGGAAAGCAGGAGACCCCTGAAAAACATTGCTTGAAACATTGCTTGTAAATGAGTTTCACGTGATTATCACAAACTAGAGGCCTGGTGCAGGAAAATTCATGCAAGAGTAGACCTTCCTTCCCCTGGCTGCTGGGACCCGGGCTGGCTTCCCTCCGGCCTCAGCTTCGTCAGGAAGGACATCCGGAATGATGTCCAGAAGGATGTCTGGTCTAATTAGCATATTACCCTTTTATTATTATAGCATAAAAATGTTACATAAAGAAAAAATCCAGCAAGTTTTTGAAACACATGACTAGTAGTTGGATGTGAACCTAAGGAATGTAAACCTAATGTAATGCTTTAAGGAAGTTAACATATATTTATATTTAAATGATTGAATTGGAATAAACTTGGATGTGGGGGATGTACTAGAAAGGAATTACATACTCAAAAGTACAAGGGGTGAAAGGGAATAGGCATGTATCAGTAAAAGGGGTACATATAGGCCATGAGTGAAATGCACTAGTAACCTAAATTAAGAATGCCCTGCCCTAATTGGTTTAGCTCAGTGGATATAACATTGGCCTGCGGGCTGAAGGGTCCCAGGTTCAATTCCAGTCAAGGGCATGTACCTTGGTTGCGGGCACATCCCCAGTGGCGGGTGTGCAGGAGGCAGCTGATCGATGTTTCTTTCTCATTGATGTTTCTGACTCTGTATCCCTCTCCCTTCCTCTCTATAAAAAATCAATAAAATATATATTAAAAAAAAAGAATGCCCTGCCCGATCAGGTGTGACTCAGCGGTCAACCCAGGAACCAAGAGGTTCCAGGTTCAATTCCCAGTCAGGGTACATGCCTGGGTTGTAAACTCAATCCCCAGAAGGGGGCATGTAGGAGGAGGCAACCCATCAATGATTCTCATCATTGATGTTTCTATCCCTCTCTCCCTCTCCCTTCCTCTCTCTGAAATATATATATATATATCTTTTTAAAAACAAAACAAAACACAAAACCAACAATGCCCAAATGAGGACAGGACAGATAGATTATACTTGGGAATAATTTAAATATCATATAAAGGATCTGTTCATCTGATTTTAACAAAAAAACACTTTCTTTTAAAATGGATTACCGAAATTTAATGGACTGTATTCTGGAACTGAAAAAGAACGTCAGTGTAAAGCCAGTGGAATCTCAATGAGGTCCGTAGTTTGGCTAATAGAATTGTGCCAATGCTAGTTTCCTCCTTTTGACAAATATAGCGATATAAGATGTATGAGCAGGGTGGAAGGTATATGGGAATTTTTTGACTTATCTTTGCAACTGTTCTGTAAGTCAAACAGGAAGTTTATAAAGCACACTGATTGCCACACTAAAGGTGAAATGCAGTTACGTTTAGGGAAGGGATAGGGTGAGTGCAGAGAGGCCTGTCTCCTTCCATGGGTGTCCCAGTGATGGGCACTGCTTTACCCAACCCATGTGTGGAACAAGGCACTTCCTTTGTGAAAAGCGTTTGCTAAGGAAAGTGTTATTTCTTTCCACTGTGAAATTGGTGTCTTTGAGGCCCCTGGGAGTCTCAGATGACAATTGAAATTACTGCTTGAAAGGACTTTTTTAAAGTGGAAATTTTAGAGGAGAATTCCATAGAGAAAGTATTTTTTTATATTCCTTGCAGGATAGGTGAAGACAATGTGTACTGTATACTACCTACCATTATGCAATTGATGGGTCTATATGACAAGATGAACTGGTTTTAAACATTGACAGTTCCATCAAATTTCTAAATGTCCCTATTTTGTTATACAGTTAAGATTCAAAGGAGCTACATTAAAAATGCCTGTCTTCATATTCTCCTGATAAAAATTCCTTTTAGGTGACAAATTACTATAATTAGCCTACCAAAATTTGAAAGGCATGCTAAACAAAACAACAGATTTAAAAGTATGCCATCATGAGCACATACGTGTGGAGAGGACCCAGATCTTGGTTTCAAAACACCATTTCTTTAATAAAAGGAATCAGAGCTTCTTGGAGAAATGTTTGATTCTGGCCTGGAGTGAGGGAAATACAAGATGAATCTGGAACATCTTATGATGCCACAAAGTAAGGAAGTGCCCCCAAAAGGAAGGATGGAGGCTTATTGAAAGGACACCGGAAACAGCTTGAAGTGTTCCCAGAAGTCTAAGCCAGAGCAATTTGAGCAATAAAATAAAATGCATTGTATTATAGCCCATAGAATAAACTAAACATCCATGAGTCCATACTGCTATAAGTAACTGAATCAATCTATAAATATATGGTGAAGGGCCAAGTCTTTGTTTTAGTAGAAATTTCAATTATAAGAATAGAAGGAATTGAGGGAAATAGAAAATTAGGCAAACACCACAGTAATAAAGATTGGAGGCAAGAGCCATTCATGGCTGCTAAGATCAGGAGGCAAAAGAGTGATGAGAAACAGGATATTTTGAGTATATCTCCCCACAAGATGTTTACTAATTACAAAGGGAAAACAGTGACTTTACAGTGGAGGAACCTGGCAGACACCTTCTTTACCAAACGATCCAGGTAAACATCATAATAATAAGATACATCAGCATCGTGTACCTCCTGATGTGATGTGCTTGGCACAGCTTCGCCCTCGTGCTGCTCTTGCCAAAAATGCACAGCCTCAACCTAATCATGACAAGACATTGGTGAACTGAAAATGACATAGTGCAAAATAACTGGCCATCCTCCTGGTGAGTGTGGAGGTCACGGGAGATATAGAAATAGGAGGTATCTGTCACAGATTGGAAGAGACTGAGGGAACGTGAGCACTAAGTGCAGTTGGGATCTCGGATCAGAAAAAGGACATCAGTGGGAAAACTGGTGAAGTTCAAATAAGGTCTGTAGATTAGTTCATAGTATTGTATCAACGTTAATTTTCTGGTTTTGGTGATAGCGTCAAAGCTATATAAGATGTCAGGTTAGGGCAAGCTGCTGAAGGGGATATGGGAGGTTTCTGTACTATTTTTGCAACTTTTTGATATTCCTGACTACTTCAAAATCAAAAGTAAAAAAATAAAAAAGTGCTCAATCTCCTTTCCTCCACAAAGAGCACACGGAACAGAGAGTACGGTGCAAGCTCCTTAAGAGGTTTTTCTCAGGCTGTTTTCTCACGTGCCCTCAAGGATCAGCCATTAGATGACAGGCAACATCAAGTACAGACTGCTGGTGGTGACCAGATGGAGAAATGCTGGTATGGAGACCATGTTGGCAGTGCTTAGGCAGAGAGAACTGATAATGCAGGCATACTTCCTATATTAACGATAATTTTTAAACCTGCTGAAACACTTGATGTTACTACAAGTTGTTAAACTGAATCAGTCATGTGACCCATGTCCACATGAATGTAAACTGACCAGCATTCTATACCATATGAGGATCTTAATGTAGGTATCATACCCTATGCACTGACAAGTATTATGATTTTATTTGGCATCAAAAATACCCTGTGTTAAAGCAGGTTGGTCTAATTATTTTCCTCTGGGAAAACACCAGTTGCGGTGGGGTGGGGTGGGGTGGGGTAGGGAGGTGGGGATAGTATTGTTGCTTAATCCCCTCTTGCTGTCTGAAATGCACTGGCTCTAGTTTCCCACACGTGAATTAATCATTGTCTACTTGTTACAGGCCCCCCCCCCAACCCCCGAGTCCCTGCCTTTCTCCTGGCATTTGGCTCTCTCCTGACAGTCCACTCTGCTCTCCTTTCTTCTCGGCCTCTGTGCTACCATTTGAGCTTCCTTCTCTCTAAAGCCTCTCCCTCTTTCTCCACCAGCCAAGATTTCCCCTTCTCCAGACCCTGCTTAGGCCCTCTTCCTCCGGGAGTCCATCAGAGAGTAAGCCACCACTAGCTTTAATTATTGCAAAAGTGCTTTATCTACCCCTTAGCACTCTTAATACATGCACACATGAGTTATATATGTAACTAAGTCTATGCCTGAGACCACCTAAGATATTTTTGGCTGTATTAATTAGTACTTGTAATTTCATGTTATCGTTGTACATGCTCGTATGGCTCTCTTGTGCATTCACCCTAGTTTTCCTTTAGCTTGTTATCTCTGGGGACAAGGACCAGATGCTTACCTCATTTGGATATTTTACAATGTGTTGAAAGGCCAAAATAACAAAGTATTGTATTTGTTTATAATTTTCTACTTTCTTCAAATTGACATAATTTTTTAGTCATACATAAAATGATAATTTATGATAATTTAAAGTATATAGCATTAAGGAAATATAAGGGATACTTAAATATAATAATAAATACCAGAAATTTTCCCTCCCGAAAGGTTATAGTCAACAGGATTATAAAACTTTGTTTTAGAATTTTCAGTTAGAGACCATAAAAGGAATTTAAGAATAATTTTAGAAAAATATAAAAGGCCTAATCTTATATTCTAATTTAATCTAGAATTCTACTTTTTAAAATTATTTTTAAAGTAAAATATTTTTTCAGTATTTTGTTTCCTTCTTAAATACAGATAATGCTAGTAGAATAACTCTTCCATTCTGCCAACATTTTTTGAGAGGCTAATATGCCTTGGCCTCTAGACTAGATACTGGGTTTACAAAGTAAAACACTTGATTTCGAGTCACTCCTACTATAGATGAATTAGGAAATGGAATTTTGGAAAGAGAATTTGGAAATTGATAATGCAGAAAGCAGAGTAGAGGTGGATTTTGGTAAACCTTAAAAGATAAAGGGCATGGATGTGGAGAAATTGGAACCTTTATTTGGGGTTGTAAGATGGTACGGCCATTATGGAAAACAGTAGTGGCTCCTCAAAAAAATTAAAAATAGAAATACCATGTGATCCAGCAATTACTTTTCTGAGTATATATCCAAAAGAATTGAAAGCAGGATCTCAGAATTATTTGTTCATAGCAGCATTATTCACAGTAGTCAAGAGGTGGAAGTGTCCATTGACAGATGAATGGATAAAGAAGACGTGGTACATACATACAGTGGAATATTATTCAGCCTTAAAAGGAAGGAAATTCCAACATACACTACAACATGGATGAACCTTAAGGACATTATGCTAAGTGAAATAAGCCCATGTCAAAAGACAAAAAAATATTGTATGATTCTAATTATATGAGGGATCTATAGTAATCAAATTCATAGAAACAGAAAGTAGAATGGTGGTTGCCAAGGATATAGGGGAAGGGGAAATTTGAGAGTTGTTTAATGGGCATAGCGTTTCAATTTTGTAAGATAAAAAAGTTCTGGAGAATGGTTGAACAACAATATGCATGTACCTAACACTACAATTTGTACACTTAGAAATGGTGAAAATGGTAAATTTTGTGTCATGTACTTTTTAACCTTCAAAAAAATTAAAAAGAATAAACAGAGAGAGATAAAAGAAGTCAGGGCTACATAAACTTGACCTTAAGAAGGGCACTCTGGTTTTTGTTATGAAAAATAGTGAGTTCCTGTTTTGATTGTTGAATTTAAGTGCCTGCCCAACAGGAATATCTAGGATGTAACAGGATCAGGGCCAGAAATATACTTTGTTATCCCCACATTACAAGTATTTAACCTTCATGGATTTTAATGAGCTCACCCATATAGAGTAAATAGAAACATGAAAAAGTGAAGGATAGATTTCCAAGTTCCAGCTTTTAAAGGCAGGTCGTAGGCAAAAAGGCTCTGAAGAAGCGAAGCAGCAGCCAAAGATTTCTAGGAAGGTACTATACACAGGTCAGGCAAGGTAAGGTAAGGTAAGGTAAGGTAAGGTAAGGTAAGGTAAGGTAAGGAAAGAGAGTTACCTAGAAGATTTGGTAACTACTGAGTTTCTGGTTGTCTTGCCAGAGTGGCTGTATTGGAGTGGTGGGAAGGGGTCTTCATCACTCCCTCCGGAGCCCTCTCCCCCACACATCTGTGGTTCATGGACTCTTGGGACAGGCTTCAGGGTGTCTGTGAGCCCTCAGGAAATCTAGGCAAAATGTTGTATGAATGTGCTTTTCTTTTGGGGAGAACCTCTGTGGCTTTCAGATAGTCTTGCTAAAGTGAATATAAGCATGTGGCATTTTCAGTAGCCCCCTCCTATCCCCTTACATTTTGACTGCTACAGGCAAAAAAGCATTCTGTGTACTTACTTTTGTTTAGATCATCTCTCTATATCTGTTTCCTCATTTCTTAGTAATTGCCAGATCTCATATAATCTAAAATTGAATTCTACTTGTATAAATAAATTTTTCTGTTTTTATATAAGTGCCTTTCTGATTTTAGCATTTATCTCATGTGTGGTGTGAATTTTTCTTCTGTTTGAATTAAATCATTAAGTTTATATATCTTGTGAATTGTGCAGATTCACTGGCAGAACAGACCTGAATTACTACACAGAAATCCATCCTCACTTTTGGAAAATCAGTTTGGAATGTAAATCTTACTGACCGCAGGGGAGATGACATTCATGTCTTAAGAAATTAAGGCAATTGGTCATGTTTTAATAACACTGTTGTTGATATTATGCTTGACAGAACTGAGGCCACATTTTAGCCTTGCGTCTGAGAGTGATACAGCAGATCAAGAAGACTTGGATGCAGAAGATGACCATGAGGAACAGCCTCCAAATCGAATTGTCCGAAGACCTCATGCCATCCTTGAAGATGCTGTGGCTACCTCAGGGGTGAGCACGCTCAGTTCTACTGTATCCCACAATTCCCAGAATGCTCACCGATCACTGAATGTACAGCTTGGAAGAATGAAAATAGAAACTAATAGGTAAGTCCTATTCTGACTTGGGTAGGTTTCTTTTTTCTGACTTTAAGTGCATGTGTTTTGGGTCTTCTTTACAGTGTGATCCACAGAAAATACAAAATATGATTCCTTTATCCCATTAATGTAAACTTGATTTAAAGCCTTTCTTTGTTGAGAGAGAGAGAGAGAGAGAGAGAGAGAGAGAGAGAGAGAGAGAGATTTATTTTAGTCTCTTTAGTCAAATATATTTTCTGTTTCTACCAATTCAAGCCCCCAGCACCTTTTCCTTAACCACTGCTTTATCACCCACTGCACTGAGGCTTTTGGAGTCACTTTGGTGTAACCTCATGGACTGCCTTGGACACAGACTAGGAGCAGCATGTACCGTCCAACAGATAGCTGAAAGACAGACAGAAAGCCCGTGTTCTTCAAAGCCCAGGATTTGGAATATCAAGTTCTTTCAGGAGAGGAAGGTCTCTGCTCTTGAGGAGATAAAACTAATGGTGCAAAAGCTTTGCATTTTAGAACCTTAAAAGGATGATCATGTGTGATTCTATTTTATGTTTAATATGGTGTGTCATATCTGGAGTTTAGTTTTTCTTTGGAATTTGATAACATAGAACCTACATGATAGGTTATTAAGTGAACAGTAAATATTTCCTGTTCTTCACAGATGTTGGCCAGTTCAAGGTCTGACTCTTGATGATTTATAGCTTCCTGTGATGACTACAGTTGACATGTGGGCAACTGAGATTACAGTGAAAAAAAATTTTTTTTTTAGTAAATCAATAAAAGTTCTTCAAATATTTAGAAACCTTAGTTGAAAATTCTAATTGTTCACCAGGGAGGTAAAACATTTATTTCTGCTCATAAGTTTATGTTCCTAAGGTTAAGTTTGAATACCAAACTTAATACAAGTAATACAAAATGAAAAACCAGACAGAGGCCAAAAAACAGGACTACAGGCTTTATTAGAGGAGAAGCACCTGCCGGGCTGTCTCCCAATGGGAGGACAGCAGCACGTGCAGGGGTGAGCACGCCTTTTGAGGGGCGGAATGGGGAGGGGTGGGGGCTTAGTGTACTCGGTGCACACTGACTGGTAGCTTACTGTATGGTCCATATAGGACAGTAATGGCAAACCTTTTGAGCTCGGCGTGTCAGCATTTTGAAAAACCCTAACTTAACTCTGGTGCCGTGTCACATACAGAAATTTTTTGATATTTGCAACCATAGTAAAACAAAGACTTATATTTTTGATATTTATTTTATATATTTAAATGCCACTTAACAAAGAAAAATCAACCAAAAAAATGAGTTCACGTGTCACCTCTGACACGCGTGTCATAGGTACGCCATCACTGATATAGGACAAGGGCTTAGGGTATTTGGCAGGTGGGATTGGTGGTCCAATGTATAGTCCATATAAGGTACATGGTTAGTCACTGAGGTATTTCCAGGCTGCAGGTTACCTCATACTCCGCCTACCAGTTGGGGGAAGGGAGGATCTATTACAGAACTCATCCTATATTTAGAAACATGAATTGCGGTTGCACGATTAAAGTAACTCCATACACATCTTCCATGATGTGCATATAGAAATCTTTCTGAATAAAAGGAAAGTGGCTTTCAGACTTCCATACCCCAATCTTGTCCTTTGAAGTTTTCCCCAGCTCTTTACTTGCCGTTTCTACTGCTTAATAGAAAAGAGTTTGAGTCTTTTTGGCCTTTGACATGTCTGTCTCAATCATTGTGTCCCTTATTTCCTCCTTTTCTTAAGTAATAAATAATCCAATTAGGATACTCTATCCATTACAGCAGGTAGTAACTTTAGTCACTTCTCTTTAGTTGACCCTCTGTCCTCCGATCCTGAATGGAGTTGGTTTTTATGCCCCTTACTGATCTCTGGAGGGGAAAGTTCACTCATTACTGTTTTGGTCCAGCCACCCACCCCACTCTGCCCTTGGCTTCCAGTCAGAATTTTACAGACAATAAAGCTACTTTATTTACCAATGAGCTGGTATATTTGTTTCTCTGGCCCTAAAACCTTCTGTCTACATACCCTGGCTTATGTCAATAGAACCTGCCTCTCCTAAATTAAATGTAGCCATTTCCGTCTCTCCTTCGCCCATCTGCGTTTCCTGTCTTACCACCCTGTCCCCGCCCTCTGTCCACCGTGCTTGTGCCATCTGCAGTCCCCAAGGGCTGCTCCTCGCCAGCTGCCCTCTTCAAGGCCTCACACCCATTTTCTGAGGGTATCAGCTAGCTGAAGGCCTGCTGCCCACATCTGCCCGTCTCTGTAAAAAGACTAGGCTTTGCCGCATTTCTTTATTGCATTAGGAGGAATTGCATTTTTCACAAAAGCCCACACAGTTATGCTTTTTCTCTACATATTTACACTTAAACATGTGAAATCTACAGGATTCTCAGCCTCCTTTATCTTTTCTAGGAATATCTCCCACAGCTTCTCCATCACACCCGGAAAAGTGAGCTGAGGCCCAACATTCACTTCACGTGATTAAAGAGAGGGCAGCTGGTGTGGCACAAGTCCTAAGCAACGGCAGTCAGGGACTGGTCATGCCTATGCTGGCCCTTGGTTTTTTAGTTGAATATTACCTGATATATTGGGGTACATTTATTGCAAAACAAGCTTAGAAAAAGTGTTAGTGTGTTTTTAGGAAAGGTTGTAGCCCTCATGTTAGAAATCTTATATTTAGGACAGCGATTTTCAACCTTTTCCATCTCATGGCACACATAAACTAATTACTAAAATTCTGCGGCACACCAAAAAATAGATAAGTTTTGAATCATTCACACCAGACAGCTGTTGTTGTGTTGGCTCTTGTTATTTAATTTGACAATCTAAGGGAAAACAGATCAGTGCCCCTGACTAAAGAGTCAGGTATTGCATGTGGTAAAATTTTCACAGCTCGCCAGTTGAGTCACTGCGTTAGGATAATTACCGATGAAAGTGAATCAGGTTTATCCAGCTCTTGATTACTAGATCAATAATACTAAATGGGAAAAGTAACAAAATGGCTTTAGAATTTATGTTTTATGTTAACATAAAAACATTCAATCCTGTAAAGAATTTCTGTGAGTTTATTTGAGCCAAACTGTCGACAATTGCTTGGAAAGTAGAATCTCAGTGTATTGGGATAATGCTCCAGGGAATGGCAGTTTTTCATCTACTTTTATACACTGAAGTAAAAGAAGATGTAGATGGGTTACTTGAAATCCATTGGTGATAGATTAGAGGCGGGAGAAAGCAAATGGGGGGGGGGGACCTCTGGGATTGGATAAAAAATAAAATGATAGAGACATACTTAGGTGGGTGCAGGATAGTTAAAAGTCAACAATTAACATGATAACAATAACAATGAAGGAATTTATGGTCTCCTGTCCTGGTGCCCAGGGCATTTGGTTGTGGCCTGAGGGGTCTGGAAAAAAAGGGAAGTTCAAGTTACCCTGACATTTCAAGGATATGTTATCATAGGTGCAAAAAGACAGACAGGCTCTCTTAAGGTAAAGGTTGACCTTGTCAGGGAAGATACCGCCCTAGGAGGTCACTGCTTTTAATTAAAGTCTAATTTCAGACCATCTTTTGTGGTTACTTTAGGTCTTTGAGTTTGCAAGACCGCCATGCAGGCCTTCCCTGAGCTTGTCAGGTTAGCAGTAGCCCCTTTCGTCCACATTTACTTACATTTAAACATTTGCTTACATAAAATGTCCTGACGATAATTAATTTCACACAGAGAGGGGGGACAGTAATGCATGTAGTTCAAATCTAACTCAGGAGGAGCTGAATGGTTATCTAATTTTCCTAGTCTACAATTCTGGAATTACCTGTCCCCACCCATCCGAGTTAAAAAGTTCACAGATCCTTGCCAAACTTCTGGAACAGAGGCAGCAAATGCGTTGGTTTTCTAAGGATTCTCCTACTAATGGAACTGAAGACAAAGTAAAAATAAAACTGATGGACTGGATATAGCTGAAAATAAATAATTTTGAGAGATGGATTTGGAACCAATGAAGTGGCCTATCAATACTTTGCTTCCAATGTTAGGTTCTGGTTTTAAAGATGAAAAGGAAATAATAGAATCTGGATAAACGTAGGTTAAATTCTAGAAAATTTCACTGTGTTCTTTGAGAAAACAAGACGATACCATCACTATTCCATACATGTAGATGAACAAGGAAGACAAAAATATATACCAGACCAAAAAATTGCCAAGTTAAAAATTCATACTGAGCTTGCTATCCATGTCTTTGAATATCATTCCTGTTGGAGTAGATAAAAATCTCCCTTCGGCCCTAACCGGTTTGGCTCAGTGGATAGAGCGTCAGTCTGTGGACTCAAGGGTCCCAGGTTCGATTCCGGTCAAGGGCATGTGCCTTGGTTGCGGGCACGTCCCCAGTGGGGAGTGTGCAGGAGGCAGCTGATCGATGTTTCTCTCTCATCGATGTTTCTAACTCTCTATCCCTCTCTGTAAAAAATCAATAAAATATATATTTTTAAAAAATCTCCCTTCATCCTTCCCTCCCTCTGCTTTCAGTTCTTAATTCCGCCTAATTGTGCACCGCTTACTGTAAATAACCTGCCTTCCTCAAATGCCTTCTCTGGCTGCCCCCTCCCCCGACCATTTGTTTTCCTTTTATTTTGCCTCCCCTGCCTACTCTACAAGGTTCCTTTCTCCTACCTGAGGGCCACAGTTCTGTGTGTCCTGCTGGGAGTAGAGGAAGGGAAGCCCCGGGGGGGGGGGGGGGGGGCGGCGTCAGGAGAGAACTCTTCCTGAGAGCTGGGAGGGCTCTTTTCCAGGGCAGCAGCCCGCAACAGAATAGCCATTATTAAAGGCCAAGCATTTTAGCTACGTTGTCTCATTAAATGCTCACAGTAATTCTTCCAGGAAATTTTCCTTTTACCTTTTAACAAATGACAAAACTGAAGCCCAGCAGGGTGGAGTAATTTGTCCAAGTTTGCACAGGAAGTACAGGGTGAACCTGGATGTTCCCAGAGCTGTCTTTCAGTTGCCCTAGGTGCTGTGCTGCCTTTCAGAACGTGATAGCTGATGCAGAAGCACACGAATCTGGTCCTGAGTTAAATCTGTCAAGGCTCAGAAAAGGAAATGCAGTTTTCTAAGAGCTGTAGTGTATGCAACAATTTATCCTGATAATCTTATGAATAATTATATTTCTTAAATTATAATTCCTAATCTAAATTCCTAACCTAGTCACTTGGAACGTTTTGACAGAGAACAGTGTTAGAAAAGGCAAGAAGGTTATCAGTTGGCTCTCAGTTGCATGGCAAACCTTCCATGGGTGAGGGCCATGGTATAAATGATACCTTAGTTTCTCCTTGTTTCTTTGGGAAATGCATTAGATGCCAACTAGGAACTGAATGTACCAGGAACACAGCTATCCTTTTACCTTCGCCACTCCTTTAGAAGGGAGAGGAATAATAGTAACAACCACAATGACCAGTAACATTTATTGAATCAGGTGCCAGATACTACAGGTGACCTTATCTATAGTTACTTCTCAAATATTCATAGTTTTAAAAAATGACCACCTTTCTCCTTTGCATTGATTATTGTATTACCCATATTGACCACCATTTTTTTGATAAAGGGCTATACATGTAAAATAAAGGTCTGTTAAACTAAACAGATACAGTATAATTTTTTTTTTTTTTGGCCATTTATGGTCATAAAAGAAACGCTAGAGCAACATCTCTGAAGATTGGGCAGACAGTTGGGGATGGAGGTTTTGAATTCTGGTCTGGAAGCACATTCTCCTAGAGCTTTGCTGCTCAACATGGAATCTGTGGACCAGCAACAGGAGTACCACCTGGGAGCTCCTTGGAAATGCAGGATCCCAGACCTCCCAGAGCTACTGGATCAGAATCTGCATTTCAATGAAATGCCAGGGGTGTCTGCTCACTGTAGCTTGAGAAGCCCTCCAATTGGTCACTCTGGCTGCTCCAGCTTTATTACCTTGTCAGTCACTATAATTTTCTTCTGCAGATTACTGGAATCATTGGTTCAGAAAGAGAAAGAATTACAAGCACTCCTTCATTACGCTATTGAAGAAAAGGACCAAGAAATCAAACACCTGAAGCTTAAGTCCCAACCAATAGGTGAATAAGCAGAAAATTTTAAAGTGAAACTGTTCAACCAGGCTGCCACAGGAAACAAAGCCAGCAGGCAGTTTCATTTCATGGCTTCGTCAGCATCTGTTACTTGTACCACAACTACAAATAGAGATTGCTTTTAATTCCTGATTGTAGCAAATTATCATTTCTTATAAGTGCAGTAAAAATAAGATGATTCATAGCCATCTTTTCCTGAAATTATAAATTATTGAGTAAAGAGGGCTCTCCACTTTTTTCTTTATTCTTTTTAAAGATTTCACAATGAGATGATTAGAAGAAAATAATACTGTTGTCATTTTTGCATTTGTATTCTGTGTATTCTAGTTTTTTTTCATATTATTGCAAATAATGGGAAAAGATTATTATAATTATCTGGTTAATTACACTCATCTTAGTTGCATGAAAAACAGTACAATTTTGGTACACCAAGTTTATTCTAAGAAACTATAACATTGATATGAAAGTTAAAGGTGGGAGTATCATTACATTCTTACTGCTGACTCTCCATTTCTTAGTAGATTAAATACTCTTTAAGCATTTTATTTATAGGTCATACTGCCAAACTTGATTGTTTCTATTAATTATTTAGAGCAAAATCTTTTAAAGTATTAATGACCTCTCTTAGGTGAAGCTAAGAATGCTCCCTTTCCCCCCAATTCTCTCCTAGATATTCCTAGATCACCTGTACATCGCTCAACCGCTGGCAGAACTACTGAAGATTCTAAACTTACTGACTGGCTGAGAGAAAATGGAGCTGATGACGACACTATAAGTCAGGTAGAGAAAACTGTGGGACAAGCATTAGGTCACTTCATCTCGTAATGGTCAGTGTCCACTATATGCTAGGCACAGGGGATACACTGGTGAGCAACTCAGACCCTGCGCTGCCCTCCTAAGGTTTATAGACTAGGGTAGGCAGACAGTAATCAAATAACTCCACAGATAAAAGCATAACGATGCTCTGGTAAGTTCTGTGAAAGAAAGGTTATCAGATGTTATGAGACAGAGGGAGGGAGAGGTTGGGGAAGGTGCTTTGAGAAGGTGGTGAGTATGTAGGAATAAACTGGACCATCTGTATGTATGTATTGGGTGGACAGACAAGAAGGGGAAATCATTCAAGTGTAGAATATACAAACAATCATCTTTGTGGTCCAGGAACCCTAAGGAATTTTATATTTTTTAATTGAAAATAATGAAAAGTATAGAAATTAGAACTAAAATAATTCTCTCTTTTATGTATTAACTTTTTAATTCTCTTGTGACATTATTAAACTCCACTGGGCATTGGCTCTTTATGTAATAAAATAGATCTATTTAGTGAACTTACATCAGGAACACTTTCTCTATAAGCCATATTATACCTGTAATAACCTAATTCTTCTCTGCTCCTTCTGGACTTTGTAATCAGCATGAATAGCATTTGTTTATGTTTAAGACTACATATATGTACACACATATTCACACAATAAGAGGTTATATTTTTATTTTTTAGGAAGGGTCTCTTAATACAGTATTACATTGATTTCAGTTTTATATTTAAATCTTAAAAATAACTATGATTAAAGATGTCTTTTCTTTTGACTTGATAATTTATTGCACCACTAAAATGTAGGGTCTCCTTAGAAATCTGCATTTAACAACTTACGCTACATACATTTAAACACCTCTCTTGCCTATGGGAAGTATGCATAGGCAAGAGAGTTGTTTGCATAGGCAAGAACTTGAATGCGTGCAATCAAGTTCTCCAAAATATCCCTCTTACTGAGACTCAAATCTCAATTAAGGATAGCAACTGATAATCCTCTAAATCATTGCCCCCTTTTTTTTTAGAATTAAAATTAAAAGCTTCAGTTTTAACTCAGGACTCTGATTTTCTAATAATTATTTGAAAGTACCTTTTATGAGACATGAAAAGTATTAAGTGTAAGCACTACTTTTTCTGGAACACTTCTTATCTCCTTGAGAAAAATAAAGCTACACAGCAGCAAACCTCTTAAAGACAACCATTATCTTACAAGCAGCAGATGTAATTAGACGTCCATTTAGACATTCTGTGTTGCTTATACTCTTCCTGCATTTGGAAGTCATGGATGTATCTCTTCGTAATTATTTTGTCATGGGGGGAACTTTTTACTAATAATTCCAGAAGGTTTTATTTTTAGTGGATTTGCTTTTAAATTCATTTTTAATTATTGCCAATGTTTACATTATGGATAGAGTTTGCTATTAAAGGTGTATAAAACATCTAATGTTTATGCATATATTACTTTATCCACAGTTTTTGGCTGAGGATTATTCACTAGTGGATGTTCTCTACTATGTTACACGTGATGACTTAAAATGCCTGAGACTAAGGTATCACTTTTCTTTCTGTTCAGTTGTCATGATGGCAAGAGTCCTGGGCTGAGATCAGGAAGTCTGGGTCCCTGCAGTCCTGGGCTGACCTCTCTGGTTCTCAGTTGCTCTGAGTAAACTGAGTTGGTTGGACCAGACTATTATTGAGAAGCTTAATAACCAATATTTCCATATTAGTAAATGCAAATCAACTGGAAGAATATTTTTTGATAATATATCAGACCAAGACCATGCAGTTATTCTAAAGCTGCCTTCAACAAATCCCTCAATGTTGTTCATGATTGTACCATACTTGGAAATATTAGGATGGGGTGCTGATTTGCCATCTAAATACCTGGTATAATCTGATACAGTTTCCTGTAATAATTTTTTTTTTAATCTGGCCAAGCATATGCATAATTTTCTCACACTGGCCCATCTTTGTCTAACAAAGACATTTTAAAAATGCTGAAAACTTTTTTGCTTTGGGACCTGGTAGATTGTGGGAATGGAGAGGAAAGGCATGGAGGGATGATGAGAAAATATATACAAAAAGAACACATAATGACTAATAAGACTTTGGGATCTTCATGTTCTGATCAGAGCAGTTTGAAAGCTAAGCAGTCACTTTTCTTTTACAAGGGCAATGTTTGAATGAACTGTTTCTTTCCCAATGTTCTTGTGTCTTTAAACAGGGGAGGGATGCTCTGCACACTGTGGAAGGCCATCACTGACTTTCGGGACAAGCAGAGAGACAAACAGACTTGACTGTCACTCCTTTGTTTCCAACCTCCCTGGAGATTCTAACAACACAGAACTGATCTTCGAAAGAGGGAGAATCCCAGGGAGAGGAGAAAGAAGCTGCACTTTAAACCCAGTATTTGTTTACTCGTGTTGAAAAAAAAAAAAATAGACAGAGTACACTGAAATTTCCCAAATGCTTCTATTTCTATAATTCATAAGGACTTTTTGTAAGGACTCTCACTAGGATGTTTAGGATTATTTTACTCTAAACATTTTAATGGAAATATTTTGAACTCAGCAGCTACTGACTAGACTTCAGCCAAATGTTTATTTCACACAAAACGGATGTAACATTTCATGTGATTGTGCATCACTGGAACAAAACCAAAATGTGACCACAACTTTTTAGGTTTATGTGTGTTTGTAATATGCTCTAATAATCTGAGTAGAAATGCATAATTTCAATTGTTGCATAAAGTTTATGGTTTTTTTTTAATATGCAGAATCTGAGCAATGGTTTATACTTATCTGTGTTAATTGTAATATTGATATATTTTGTAACTTAAGTTTCTGGCCTATAGTACTTTGGTTTGAGTCATTTTTGTTACTACTGAACTGTACCAGTTGCACATGCCTGAATCATAGTAAAGTTAGCTTGTTCTAAAGCTATCCATTGTCTCATATTTACTTTAAAAAGTAAAAAAGGCTATCAATATACTGTTTTGATAAATTCTAAATAGTTCTCATTTTGTTTAGCCAAACTGTGTTAAATTTCTAGTTGTTTCTTCAGCTATAACATTAAATAGAATCTGTCTTCTACTCAAGTAATTGAAGAAAACTGATCTCCAAGTTCTTCCTCATGGCAACAGAGTGGTTCAGAAAGACGTAAAAGAAAAAAGAAAATAAAAGAAAGTCACTGTATTTTTCTCAAAGCCCTGAGTTACCTTGAATGACTATTGTGTATCTCAAGGGGCCTACAAACAGCATCTCAGTGGAGAGCACTGCCTTTTCTATCTCTTTAATTTCTCATATTGAGGAAAATATTTTATTGTAAGCTGAATATTATATTTTATAAGCCTGCCTGTATTAAAAGGATGAAGTCTGAAGTTCTTCGATGGATCAATGAGATAAACAAATTTCTTGAATACAAAGGAAACTGTTTAGTATGCAAGATAAAAATAATACAGAGCTGTTCACTTGGCCCATATGTAACAGTCTTTGATAAAATAGGAGTCATTTTTGTTTCTTTTTTTTTTTTTTTTTTGCTGCAAAAAGCTTTATTGTTTCATTTGGTTCAATGCATGGTGGTTAAAAGAATGACTTGTAGTTTCAGGTAGAAGCTCAGGCAAAAGGCAGACACCAGGGGAACGCAGAGGGGCCCCTCAAAGGCCTCTGGGCTGCAAAGTCATGCTTGAGGGTAAGCCCAGCCCAGCCTGGGGGCTGGACAGGTGTAGCCCATTTTCTTGATAAGTTTCACCTCCTCACCCAGGAAGTGGTTCTCAAGGAAGTCACAGAGGTGAGAGTCTGCGGGCAGAACCCAGGGCCTGCAGCTCCACAAGGGCCTGGTTCAGGTTCCTCTCTAAGCCAGGGCAGCTCCCATGGTGCCCTGAGTTTTGCCCACTCACCTTGGGGAGGCTTCAGCAGGTCCTGGAGGAGAATGCGGACACCACGCTGGTTTTGCAACTTTAAGGGACGCTCAGCACCCTTGGCTTCTCCACCAACTCGTGGAAGAAGTGGCCCATGCCCTCGAGAGCCACATCGCTGGTGGAAATAGAAGCCCAGAGAGAGGTAGGTGTGCGAGGCCCGCAGATGCAGGTCGGCCCCGCGGTTGAACGCAGCCTCCACCTGGGTGGAATAATTCTGTTGAATTTGGGAGCTCATGGTTGTTCGGCAATAAGGAGTTAAGGTAGAAAAACAAACAAACAGTGTGTTGCTGGTCCCGGAGGTGGTTCTGAAGGTGGTAACTAGATAAGATGCAGGAGAGTGGCCGGAGGCTGGGAGAAGGGGTGTCCCTGCGTCTGTTCCGGCCAAACACTGTTGAAGCAAGAGACAGATCTGGGACTGCAGAGGGCACTGCCAAGTCATCTTTATTTCTATGTGAAAATCCAGGTACTATATATATATATATTTTTTTAAAAAAAAATATATGTGTGTGTGTATATATATATATACACATATATATATATAATTGATTTTTTACAAAGAGGAAGGGAGAGGGATAGAGAGTTAGAAACATCGATGAGAGAGAAGCATTGATCAGCTGCCTCCTGCACACCCCCTACCGGGGATGTGCCTGCAACCAAGGTACATGCCCTTGACCGGAATCGAACCTGGGACCCTTCAGTCCCCAGGCCAACACTTTATTCAGTGAGCCAAACCAGCTAGGGCATATATATTTTTTAAAGTTTATTTTTATTGTTGACACTATTATAGATGTCCCCATTTAGGTATTCGATTATTCAGAAAGTTCTCACCAGTATTTTGTCATTTGATATTTGCAACAATATAGCTGCATCTTTGTTTTACTTCCCAATCCTGAGGACAGATCGCTGCCCTGTCCCCTTGCACCCTGTGGGAAATTTTGAGGGAGATGAAGTGTAAATTAAGTGGCAAGTCATTTCATTCATACTGAAATACAGGGTAACTTTTTTTTTATTATTGATTTTTTTACAGAGAGGAAGGGAGAGGGATAGAGAGTTAGAAACATCAATGAGAGAGAAACATTGATCAGCTGCCTCCTGCACACCCCCAACCAGGGATGTGCCCGCAACCAGGGTACATGCTCTTGGCTGGAATCGAACCCAGGACCCTTCAGTCCTCAGGCCGATGCTCTATCCACTGAGCTAAACAGATTCGGGCAGGGGTAACCTTCTTTATGAAGCCACAGTTCATCTGCCCGATAATAATGCTTCTTTTAGACCATAAATAAAGTGCTTCTTTTAGACCGTAATAGGATCAAGCTACCCATGTTCAACCAACTATTTTATTTTTTCATCCTCACCCAAGGAGTGAGGATATTTTTTAAAATATGTTTTTATTGGCTTCAGAGAGGAAGGGAGAGGGAAAGAGAGATAAAAACATCAATAATGAGAAGAATCATTTATCTGCTGCCTCCTGCATGCCCCACACTGGGAATCGAGCCAGCAACCCGGGCATATGCCCTGACCGGGAATTGAACTGTGACTTCCTCTTTCATAGGTTGACGCTTAACCACTGAACCATGCCAGCCAGACTCAACCAACTCTTTAATGATAGTCTTCTGCGGGGGCCCTCACTGTAACCAATCTTTGTGATCAAATGTTCCTCTATCCCTACATGGTTCATAACACATTCACGGACATCATTTTTGGGTCTTAGTCACACAAGAAGGCAGTTCCATTATGGCCCAAGTTTCATGAAAGTTTTCACTTGAAAGGCCTTTGGCATCACTCTACGGCAGATCGTACACCCAGCTTCACATTAAACTGACCTGGTTGCTTTTTAAAAATATCGATGCCACCATCTTAGAGAAACTTTTTATTGGTCTGGGAAAGGGCCCAGAGATCTTTTTAAAAGCTCTACAGATGACACCATCAGGCCCCACCTCCTCATTCAAAGTGGTACCCGGAGAGAGAAATGGAAAGCCCCTTTCCGTAGTGATGATAGTAAGATGGTTACCATTCGTTGTTCACTCAGTGTAGCAAGAATCTAAGCACATAGGCCTGGAGCAAAACTACCACTTGCCTTTTCCCATTGGGCCGATGAACCTCACCAAGTCTGTTGTTTCCTCATTTGAAGTGAGGAAAACAGTCTGCCTTCCTCATGGGGTTGTAAGATTTAAAGAAAACAATGCAGATGAGGTGCTTACTGCAATGCTTAGCAGATACTAAGCACTCAGCTCCTGCCTACCGTTGTTATCTATTATCATTCACTCAAAGCAGTCATTAAGAACTCACTGGGTGAGTACATTATGGTACACAAACGACACAGTTCTCCCCCCGATGTTCACTGTCAGTGGTGAAAGCAAGACAAAGCCGAAACTACAGTACATGCAGTAAGTGCTGTAGTGATCTGACTGCTGGAGGAGATCAAGAAAAGCTTCCTGGAGAAGTGAAGTCCAGAGCTGAGCCTGGAAAGACGGTTGGTGACAGCAGTTACACACCTGGGCGGTGCACAGTCTTACAAGAAACAAAACCGGAATTTGCCGGGGAAAGTAGATCCAGTGTTTCTTTTTAAGCACATTTTGATCTCTTTCTCCAAATCCTATCATTGCATATTTTGTTTCATTCATTCTTAAACCATTACAAAAAACGCTTGGCAATGAGGAATTGTTGCTAACCCACTGGAATGCCTGCTATGTGTGAGGCACTGTAGCAGCAGGAGAGATATACATGATACCCCTTAAAATTAGAATACAGGCAACACATATGTCATCAAGAACACCAGCTATTTGTAAACATATCATTGATAACTTCAGACTTTATAGACACCCTAGGGAGAAATAGAAGACAAAGCCTCTGCCACCAATAATTCATATCAGATTGAAGAGACAAATTTGCAGTAACAACTCAAATTTGTTAAAGGCTAGATGAGGGGTAAATCCAGAAGCCCCTGGAGAGGTTCAGAGAACAAGCTTGCTGGGAGCCTGGGCAGGTGGGACAGGCTTCATTGAGGAGGCAGACCTCACCCTGGGCCTTAGAAGGAAAGAATTATTAAGTCAGAAACAGGGAAGTCAATCAGGGCATAGTACCAAGAACAAAGGCAGAAAGCAGGGATTTGCAAAGTGTTCTGGAGAAAGTGAGCAATTTTTATATTACATTACCCCCCCCCCCCCAGAATTGACTCATTTAACTCATATTTGGCTGGAAACATGAATTATAAAGATGAAAGGTGGAAAATGAGATAGAGCTCAGTGTGATTGGAGTTGGCCAGGGAGGAAAGTGGAGTATATTTAATTATGTAGAAATGGGGGATCTATTAAGGTTTTTGAGCAAGAGGTGTATGTGTAAAGCAGTAGTGTGTGAGATTAATCTGGTGAAATTGTTTTGGGTAAATTGGAATAGAAATTGGACAGAACAGCTCAGAGAGTGTTACAGATGTGAAGGAGGGTCCAGTAGGAGTTTGAGCAATAGGAATTGAGAGGGTGAGATTAAAATAAATTGACAAGATTTGGGAACTATGATTTGAGCAGTGACAATGGGAGGAAAGGCTAGATGTTGAGTTTATATAACAGAAGAATTCAAACACAGGCAACTTTGGGGGGGAAGCTGGTTTGGACATGATAAATTAATGGCAGGATGATTCAATGATAGAAATGGCAGAGACCATTGAGAATTTGTAGGAAGAAGTCAGGACTGAGGTCAGGGGTATATATTCTGGATCTAGGGCTCAACCTGGGTGGAGATAACATTAAGTGATAGTTATGAGAGAGAAAGCTTGTGGCCGACAATTTTGGGAGGAGGATGGTTTTGGGGTGGTTTGAAAAGGAGGAGGAACTTTAACTCAGTAGAGAAGAAAAATGACTAACCACAGAGAAATTAGAAAAAGCAGGACAGCCCTAACTGGTTTGGCTCAGTGGATAGAACTTCATCCTGCGGACTGAAGAGTCCCAGGTTTGATTCCAGTCAAGGGCATGTAGCTTGGTTGCGGGCACATCCCCAGTGGGGGGTGTGCAGGAGGCAGCTGATCGATGTTTCTCTCTCATCGATGTTTCTAACTCTCTATCCCTCTCCCTTCCTCTCTGTAAAAAATCAATAAAATATATTTTTTTAAAAAAAGAAAAGAAAAACCAGGAGAGTGGTGTAAGCCAACAGGAAGATGATCAGTTGACAGAGTGAAGAAAATCTAGGGGGATGACAGATTAAAAATTTGATTTCATGCCCTGGAAAGTTTTCCTAGACATGAAAGACTACACTTGGTTAAACAAAGATAATAAGACAATAATGGCACCGGAGTCCACACATTTATTAACTTTGGTGAAAAAAATTATGACAATACATTTGGGAGAGCTGGAAGTTGAGGGAAGAAATTTTTCAGAATCACAGAGTCCTGAATGTATTTGTTGGGGTAGAATCCCTGAATGGAGAGGCCGTTGGGGAGTAGGGAGAAGAAAGGATGAGCTTTCAAAGGAGGCAGGAGGG